GTTGGACGTTTTGGGGCTGTGAGGTTTTGAAAGTGCATCAATCATTGAAGAAAATCATAATAATGTTAATGTCTGGATTTTTACATTTGATAATGTTATCAAAAACAAAGTGCCTTCAGTGTATGTAACTCGATTTCAAGCCACACCTCGCTTATTGGATTCTGGGAGCAGACAAGGACAAAACGACAGAGCAGTGCTTGCCCCCCAGATAACTATGTCACAGACCTTAATTCATGTCATTAGTCAAAGAATATTAAACAAACGGATCGCAGATAATGCCTTTGCAAACACAATAAGAGAACACACTTCTATATGCATGTCAATCCATCACTTATTTGCCACAAGGGGAACAAATTATCGTTTGGGGTGATTCTTTCTACTTTCTTTTTTACTAGATATTCACAAAGAATAATGATAAATAAAAGTAGTCAGAAGGATCAGTGAAAGTGCGGCAAGTGAGGATAAACTGTGGAGAGACTTAGCAGTGACTACTACTTGCAGTTCTAACTGACACAAAACTCAGAAAAGCAGACCAAACTTGAGGTTAAATGAGAATGTAAAACAAAGCCACTCGGAGAAGAGGAACAACGAAGGGAGAGGAAAACGAGGACCAGGACAAAACGACTTGAGAGATAATGTGCTCAAGTGCTAGCTCGGCCGTTAGCATCCGGCCTGAGGTCAGCCTGCCCAAACATTCGCTGTCTGCCTGCCCGCGTGTCCCCCCCCCCCCCAGAGACAGGTATGGACAACCACCATTAGCTGGAGTAGATCTGGGTCCCAATCACACGCATGATCTCCTTCTGCACCTTAGGCTCCTGGGTGTTGATGTTAGCATCTCCTACTTGGCCATCCTCATACCTGCACATATACATGGATGAGTTGACATGAGATAACATAAAACTTTTATTATTCCCCTAAGGAAAAATCAGATGTCCGAGCAGCATCGGCAATAAAAGAGAGAAACACAGGCTAAGTGTCTACACAAGGATAACTAGAATAAAAGAAGAAAGTAACAGTATAAATAAAAAATAACAATTGCAATAGGTAGAACACAGAGTAGTTGAGTTCACATAGGAATCAGTGAGAATCAAAAGTAGGTACATACAGAAAAGCTGGTCTTCAGATATGATGTTGGTATTGTGTTTTGAAGCTTTTCATCAATAGCTGCTTCAGTTTTTATCCCTTTCTCTTGCTCACGCCCAATATTAGTTAAAAGCAGCCAAAGTGTATTAGTATCGCATCAACAAGGCATAATGATGATGATAAATAGTTCTTGGAGACATTAACCACTTTAAGTTAATCTTGTCTAGGGAGCAAGGGTTTAACAGTGATTTTAGAAAAGGCATTGTTAGGTCTGATGCAAGAAATCTTTATGTTTTTATTCTAATACTGTCAACATTTCTTCAAGCTGAAAAACCCAACCATATGCTGAGCACAAGTTGAGAATTGAATTATATTTAGCTGCGATTTAAATGTGATTGCAGGCATTCTCAAATCTAATTTCCCAATCAGAAGACAGCAGCAGACGTGATAATAGACTGTGCCATATGGTTAATGCCTGTTTCCAAAGCTCAGACTCAAACCCCTAACTCATAGCTTCAATACACAGCTGTAAACATCCTATTAAAAGGCTCTGACCTGAGAGGAACCCAGTTTAGTGGAGCGGGAACTCCACTCAGCCATCTTTTATTCACTGCTTATTTAAAATGATGATGAGTGATGAGGGACAACTGCAGCATATACCATAATTCTTCATCAAACCACCTTCATCATGTGTGGTTTAGCAGGAAAGAAACAGCAACCTGAGTGATAAACTATGCAATTTAAGTGATAATGAAGCGTGATGATTATTTTTTATACTGGCCGCCTGGCTGCTATGCCAACACACCTTGTCATTACGCACTTGTAGACATTTCCAAGGTGTTAAAAAAATGTGGGATTACTTACACAAAAAAGAAGCGTGTACAGACGTGGTCGGATACTGGACACACCCAGATGTTCCCATGTTTCTGCAGATCCTTAGACGTGATAACTGTTGAATAGAAATAGAAAACACTGCAGCTTAATGGCTTAGACTCAGATATTATCATAACTGATGCACATCATTTATTTTGTTTATATCTAATTGTTTACCTCTTACTAAAATGATTATGATCTGATTATGATGATTGCTATGACCTTTTTTGACTACACAATTAGCCTTGTGAGCCTACTGTTTGGATTGAATTATAATTTTGTTTGCGATTCTCTTCTTGTTTTGCTTTTATTGTGTAATTTTTTTTGTATTAATAAAAAGGAAATATCGTACTTATATTATAATGTGAATCAAACTTTAATTTGAATGTGTATTTGTTTAGAGACACATCAATATATCATCATATCAATCAAATAAAGCCCCATATTATATCATATAAAACATATGATACCTTCTTGCTGCTTATTACCTTCACACAGAGCGATGCAGTTCAGATTCCGACTCTGAAGAAACCTCGATTGTATTGGACGGCTCTGTTGAAAAAAATAAAGAGACAGTTAAAACTCTTCCCTGCTTCAGTGAATACCGTGATCTAACTGAGCTGTAACCAGACATTGAGAATTACACACACTCAAACTGTAAACCCTATAATAGTTTTAACTAAAGCATAGTGATTTGAAGTAGTAGTAGTAGTAGTAGTAACATTTTAAAAGATGTGTACTTTGTTTGGATTTGTTTGTCTTTTGTTGTGTGCAGTCTGGATTAGTAGTGATCTGAGTCCAAGACTTCGAGTCGTGGCTGAACCTATCACTGTGGTCCTGCCTGACTCTCATCATACTACTTCCCTGATGGCTCCCACAGGATTGTTGACATCCTCGTGGATTCATCTTCTTATTATAGACACATGCATTTCCAAACATTTGGTCTACCTATGCTGTACAATGTATTATCTCTTCTATTTACACACGGCATCTATTGCACGTCTGTCCGTCCTGGGAGAGGGATCCCTCCTCTGTTGCTCTCCCTGAGGTTTCTCCCTTTTTTAAACTGTGGGGTTTTTCCTTGTACGATGTGAGGGTCCAAGGACAGAGGGTGTCGTATTGTCATACTAATATTCTGTACAAACTGTGAAGTCCACTGAGACAAATGTAACATTTGTGATATTGGGCTATACAAATAAACATTGATTGATTGATAGTGCCGCACTATATTTGAAAAAGAGATGGTACGCATTTAGGAGAGGATTTATTATGTGCAGTACCTGTGGGATGGTGTTCATGCGGTTGTAGCGCTGCACCAGTTCATCTTTGGTGGGCATGCGGTGCTGTCCTTTCCCCATCCCTGCAAGAAGCAGCACACAGAGAGCAAACGAGAGTCAGAGCGACCTCAGATCTGTGAGAAACCTTCCTCTACTGTCTGCAGCTGCTGGTGCACAGGAAGTATTACCCACAGTGCTAACCTTCATATCAAGGTTGTTTTAAAAGGCTACTGAATATGGTTACATTTAGAAAATAAACATGGGTTGCAACATTCAGCATCGAGACAAAAAGGTGATACAACAAGTACCACTTTTAGTTTATTTATCATAAAAATTGCCTTTTTTAATTATACCAATCATTCTGATATTTCAACTTAAAGGTGGGGTAGGTAATTCACTTCAGAAATACTTTTTGTTATATTCCATGGAATGCTCTTAACATCCCGATAGCAATGAATATATTAAATGCTTTGACAATTAATACATAAAAAAATGTCATCTGTGGAAGCCGTAGCGCTGTAAAAAGCACGACCAATCATCTGAGCCGGCCCGCGGCAAATAACTGGATGGCCTACCTGCCTGTCAGCCTTCCATCTCGTGCACAAACTTATCTCGTGCCCTCATTGGTCATGTGCGCGTTCGTGTGTGTTAGAGGAGGGGCTCTGGAAGGAAGTCTGAAGGAAGGGGCAGATTTTTTCCGGTTGTGTACTTTCAAATTCTAGCGCACTCGAGCTGGTTTCTCCATTCTTACCTACCCTAACTTTAAGTAGGTATTTGTTTATATTACTTTTATTTTACAGTGTATAAGCTGATTTTAGTGGACTGTAATATGCTTATATTGCATGATAGACATGGACGCAGAGAAAGTGTCATCATTGAGTTTGATTAGGCCAGGACAGAGTGATAAAATGCCAGCAATTGAGCAGAGAATTATTATTTCTACATATTTCCTTGAAACTACAAAACCATTGAGTAGGGGTTTGTTAAAAATACTAACATGGGTTTGGCAACCTGGCAATCTAATTTCCAAATAATCGACAAAACACAAAAACCTAAAAAAATATACCTTTAAAATTGTGTGAGAGCAGGAATACACAATGTAAGGCTTTCAGGGTTATACGGCCTCTTCACCACCACCCGACACAGGAGAAAGTAATATTAAAAGCCAACAAAGTACAAAGTAACACACACAGATCCACTGACAGCTCCATTTTTCACAACCACGACATAATGTATGGTAGGCGGCACACAAGCTCAGAGAAAGAAGGCCCGAGGCCCAGCACCCACAACGATAACACACAACACAGAGCGGCACGACAAGAGAGCACGGGAAGATCCCACATGTGAAGATGAAGTGTTCCAGGATGATTATCAGGCCACGTTACAAACAGAGAGCGCACTCAGTCAACATGGTGGTATAAAAGGGAGAGGGGGGGTTGGCTGGAGGGGTCTGAGTGGCGAGGAATGATTCGTTCCTACCTGAGTATCCAAAAGAAATGCTGGAGATGGGGCTCAGATAGATGCCCTTTCCATACGCTGCCCCATGCAGCTTGGGTTTGAAAAGAGCAGGAAGGAAGGAAGGGTCACTGAGCAGTTGCACAAGACAACCACACACACACACACACACACACACACACACACACACACACACACACACACACACACACACACACACACACACACACACACACACACACACACACACACACACACCACACACACACACACACACACACACACACACACACACACACACACACACACACACACACACACACACACACACACACACGAAAATCCAAAGACAATGGATCGCAACAGCAAAAGAAAGAAGTTTAATTAATCCGGTAAACTCCGACAGCCCATAATAATGTTGAGAGAAGGTCATGTGATGCTCTTGAATCGCGTTTAAAATGAGAACATGTTTTCCGGTTTGAACGTAAAGATGGTGAAGTATGATGAGGATTGACAATGATCATGAGCCTCCACACACAAGCATGTCCAGGATGAGGAAAAGGAAAAAGGACCACAGCTGTGACATGGACAAGTGTTCATGAACCGCGGTGAAACCACATGAAAGGAAGGAGAAACTCAGGGGTGAAATGTGAGATGGAGGTCAGGACATGGCACATCTGGAAGAAATCAAAAGGAGCAATAGACAAGAGGTTTTGTGTGATGGCTGGAGCTGGAGGCAGACTCAGTCCTCCTCCTCATGTGAAATACAATGACAGAAGGGGGGGGGGGGGGGTGTCAATGCTGAAGGTGAAACAGGGAGGAGAAAGAGAAGGCAGACGAGATCAAAGATGGAGAGTTCAAAAAGTTGGAGAACAAAGCAGGCATAAATGAAACACATCCGCATGATAGAGCAATCACGGCCGACGTGAGTGTTTCAAAGATCCCTGAGATTTCACATTTAATTGTTTCTCGTCTATTTTCAGGACCTGTCGGTGTGTCTTCAAGCAGTCATTATCTGTCGCAAATGAGACAATTCTGCGCTCTCTAGTTCTCACTTCATCTTTTCTAGTTGTATTATTTATCCTTTACAGACCTGGTTCACAAAGTGCAACAAGGACAACTTTGTAAATGCAATGTGAAATCTGATGCAGAGTGAAATCAGAACGCACTCTGAAGAAAAGTATGTTGGTCTGCTTTTGTATTAAAACTATTTATGGTCCTGATTTGAAATTGTACCCATTTGGTAGATAGTATTGTAATGAATTGAGGCAACTAAGTAGGCCTGCATTATTGCGCTCATGTTTTTCTGAATTTATATGATAACAATAATTCACATAACATAATTCACTTTATAATGGAAAAATATTCAAATGACCAGGGTTTGATTTTGTAAATGGATCTGTACCAAACAGGGATTCTTTATTGAGTCTGTTGAATATAGTTTTTAGGCCAATACTCCAATCAGAATTATATGTTCACATACATTACCTTTACTAAATATTGCACTTACTGCTATTTTGATACCACACAAGTCCCTAAAACGATTTTCTATAAAAGTTTGATAAATTGCAGCACTATTGCTCAGCTCGAGTTTGAATACAACAAGTGAGGTGCCAGTTACTGACCTTTTAGTGAAGCCCTCCTTATTCACCCACAGGAAGTCTATACTCACTACCATGGAGCTTGTCCTTTGCATCCTCCAGCTTCAGACCTAGCCTACTCAGTGCTCTAGGTGGTTCACCCCCACAGGGCACACAGACAGCCTCCAACATCACAGCGGACACCACAGCCCCCCCTCCCCTTTGTCCCACAACAGGATGAGACGTGCTGTCCGCTGCTGTCTGCCTCACAGAGTAGCAGACATTGGTCGGGAAGATCTAACCGTGTGCCCCGCTCGCTAAAATGCCAAATGCAAAGCTGACGAAAGGGAAGCTGGCATCCATTAACTGCAAAAATGAATCAGCCGGACAGCGAGCCTGCTCTATCAGAGAGCAGGTTCACTGTCCGAGAGGAGATGCATCGTAAATTCCAGAGAACTGCCAGGGTTACGTACCTGCAGTTTGGTATAAGAGGCATTGACTAGTCCATTTCTCAGAACAGAGTGCCAGTTCTCTATATGGGAACCACTAGAGCAAGTGTAGAGAGAGGGAGAGATAAGAAAGAAGAGATAAAACAAAGTGCTGTGTGAATATAAACAGTGTGCAACCACCGGTGTGTAGTGGGCCAGATCCAGGCTGCTCCAAAGTACACTGTCACATTTTCGCTGTAACCTTTGACTTTCATTATAGGGATTACCAAATGGAATTGAGTGCAGGAATGAGTACTAAAACACAGGAAGGAGTAACACTTCAGATTCCCTCGTCTCAAAGGTAATGTCATTTATAAAAACGTTTTTGGTGAGGAGATGTTCACCCTTCTAGTGGATGTCTGAAGCTTAACGTGTCTTAAATACAGGAGTTGCTAAAAAAGTGGCTTAATGAGACGATTACACGTCATCAGCGATGAGTTGAAGTCATGCCAAGGTGATGTCGTTAGCTTTTTACTTCAAGTGTTTTTATTTACAAAGTCACACAGTGGTGGTTAATGTGTGGAGATTATCCTGCTGAACAAAATGTGTAAGTATCATAAATGTTTGTTTGCAACAGAGCATATTTTCTGCATAGTCCAAAATCAAAATGGAAAAATCCTACTGGCTTTTATTGAGGGAGCATTTCCGTGTCAGCCTGCAAATATGCTTCATCACTGGATAACTCCATCATTTCCTTTACTATTATAATATTGATTTTCTCAATGTCATGAAATATTACTGTAAAAAAAGCAATGAAATGTGTTACTTGAGGATTGCTGCTTTTTACTTCAGAATTATTTTAAACCTATTAAGAATTCATAAAGAGAGTTTATTCAAGCTCTCTTCTGCCAAACACAAAGAGCTTCTGAAGTCTATTTTTCCAATCTGTGCGAGGACATTTGGGACATTTTGTTACATCATCACAGTACTCCAAATTGAAATAACTGAATGTTAAATATTATATTATAAAAATTAAGATCAAAGATGACAACCCATCATTGATGTCTTCAGCACAGTATGGGTTATTTGAATACATCTCCCAAGACAGGTCTTAAAATAAAATAAACAGCAGTGTCATGAGTGCTTTTATTTTTAAACTAGTTTTGAAGCTGTTTAATTAATATAAGGTATATATGCTTTTAATTGATTCCTTCCCAAATCTCGCAGATATTTATATTTTCTATTAATCTATTTATATCAATGTAAAATCACGGCAGCCAAGCCAACATAACATTTCCTGTTGAGAATTACTACATTTTGTAGCATTCATCAGCGTAAAGAGACACTGTCAGCGCTGCTCATGTGTTATCTGTCCCACATGGGCCGTGTGCCTTTAAAATATTCAGCAGAGCCCCATCTGCTACAGTACCAATCTCCATCTCACAGATACTGCTGGCTCCATGTGCTGGCGGAGCGATTCGGTTTCTCAGTCCAAGCGAGTGGTCAGCGCTCGGTGCTGTTGTTTGTTATGGTTCCATTAAAATCAGCTCGAGTTGCTACTCCATCCGCAGCGTAATGACCAGGTGCTCTAGAGAAGAGTTCATGCTTGACACAGTGTACTGCTGTAACGCTAAATTATGCATGCATTTCAGGGACTATGCTGTATTTAAGATCAATTATGTACAGTGAGTGATTTCTCACGTTATATTTACAGCCAAAGCTTAACAATAGAAATAACTACATTAACATATTTTACAATAGCCTAAATCATTTCTGTAACTGTGACTTCACAAGCTATATGCTTCAAATTAGTCATTCAATTCTACAGGAGTGGTTATGCTTAATTCGAGTCAATAATGTATGTCTTTTTGGACTTTGGGAAAATAAAACATGAACAATCACTTGATTTGTCACATTATATTTGTCCAAAATCCACAAGCTTAACAACATAATAACCACAAAATGTTCCCTGATATTTTCTAACAGCATTAATGTTTGACTCTCTACAAGCTATAAGCTTCAAAGTAGTCATTCAGCTAAAACATAAGAGCCTTGATGGGATGCATGCTGTGTCGGCTAATGAGAGGAACAGAGGGGACTCACTGGAAGGCGAAGGTGCTGCCATAAAGCTTCTTGGCAGTGCGGAAACGAGCCTCCTTGGCCGGGGGGCTGCTGAGCAGCAGGAACTGGTGGGAGGTGTGCATGAATTTCAGTTGCTAGCACAATGAGGTCATGAGGGAATGTGAGAGAGAGCAAGCGAGACAAAAAGAGAGTGAGTATGAAGCATTTAACGACAGAACGTAGGAGTAATAAGAAACTGATTTGATAAAGGGCATTCGAGGGGAAGCCATTCTTGTTTCCTACCCTACTCAGAGGCAGCTTGACAATATGAGACCGGTTACTGGAAATAATCCTGCAAAAACACAGAGGGAAAAAATCATAGGCCTTTTTCAACACAGATATGTTGATCTTGGAATGGTAGGAAAAAGTGTTACTAATAATATTATAAATGGCTTTGTTCTGTTCATGTGTCCCAGTAAGAGGTGGCAGTGTGCAAATGAGCCAACGTTCACAATATCAGGAGTCTAAAACCAGCCAAATGAAATCCATCATAAACTTCATTATTTATGAAGGAGTTGTGATTGAATTCAGTAAGAGTTTTTGTAGTGTTGATTACAAAGGTGGTTATGGTTGTTGTTTGTGACATTTTCATGTATATAGTTTGATCCTGATGTTTCGGGATGGTCGAATGGACAGCACTTATAGATATTATAAGTATATATACACGAGGTCGCCTGTGAAAAAGAGGGTCAGTGTGTTGCTGTGTCACAGCGACGATTAGTTTGTTTTGCTCAAATGTATAACTGTGCTTTTGTCAAATGTCAAAATGTCTCCATAATAAGGCAGATTGCCATAAGCCCATAAGCGTATGTGTTGTCCATGATCTTTTATCTAATATAGTAAGTTTGATATGCTTTCTTCTGGTGAGAAGAGCTTTTCCTGTCCATTTGCAAAACACAGTAAACACAGTTTTTTGAGCAGATCCTCTCTACTCACCACTGTAGCAGGGGATGTGCCAAGGGGTCCAGTTTGTCCATCTGTTTCTTGATCTCTAGATATGAGCCCTGGGGGAAAAAAGCATACAAGCATGTGTTGTTTGCAGATATCAGGATGTTGTTTTCCAAAAGCCAAATTAGGAGTTGTTCAGACACAGTCCTATGATGTGATTTATACAAAGTATGGATGCAGCCAAGCCACAGTGGGTACACAAGTAATATAAGGAAGTGAAGAAAAAACCGTTGAAGAGGTAAACTAATCCTGTGTAATGGTCATTTCCAAACATTGGGTAGACATACAGTCGAGTGATGATCTTATATAAACTAAAAAGATATCTTTACGTCTATCTCATACATTAAGACTAACTATGTCCTAGATTCACAGTGGCCCTTCACTTCTTTCCCTCCCATCTTCTCCTTGTACCTGTGTCATTTCACGAATGGACATGACGCTGTCCAATGCTTTCTGCAGTCTCTCATAATTCTTCTTCTGTGTTCATCGGTTGAGCCAAACATCCATTGTATGCAATGACAGAGGGAACAACATACAGACATCTAAAATCACTTGTAGACACAAACGTTTGACAAAATATTGATACTATTTCTTAATTATTCACATCAGTTTATGAGAAAGACAAAACTAATTGCACTTTACTTCAAAGATACAGCTAATGATGTAATGTTAAGCATAGATGTGACATACCTACATGCATTAAGTTTGTAAACAACTACATATATATATTCTAGTTTTGCTCTGACAGCAGTAGTGGTATTGAATCTTGGAATAAAATGTGTTTATAGTTTAGTAATCATGATCCTAGAAGTGGGGATGCTGACCTTTGGGTTGAAGGCCAGAGTCTTGGGGTCATTGGGGTCAACGACTGATGGGTACGGCTCGAAGATGATGCTCTTACGAGGGGATTCAAGTGCAGCTCGACACATCGCCACAAGAAGGTCCACCACCTGCAGGGAGAGGGATTTTATAATTACATTTGATTCCTTTATTGGATTTTGTTATTTACTTATTTAAATGCTTTTATTGACAGTGCAATACCACAGAAATATCTGCCTCAGTTTCAATTAAACGTATAAACTACAAATAATTTTTTTTTTGTAACATATAAAGTCATTCTTTGATCTTAAATCCAAAAGAGTATTTAGGGGGGTTACAAAAATACAAATAAATAGAATTATGTCATATACTATCGTGTTGTCATCACCTCTGCTCCAGTACTAATACATGATAATATATTATTATGGGTTAAGCTACCCAGCAGTAAATGAAGTAGTTCAAATAAACCCCACCTTTAAGTGCAACAATGAAGTGATGAACACATTAATGCTTCAATAATTAGAATACTACAATGTTATATGTATGATTCTTAAATAGAGCCATACTGCATAATGAGTACTTTTTGTAAGATATACTTTTGTAACTCGATCCAAAATTCGTTTTTGGGGGAAATAAAAACAAACTATTGCAGGAAAAAATAAAATTACAAATAATCTGTTTATAATGATATCATATACTATGAGTCGTGTGGTCGTCACCTCTGCTCCTGTTGCCACCTCCTCTGCGGCTCCGGACATCACACCCAGAGTGTAGAAGGAGAACACACACAGCTCCCTGGTGCACACAGCCGGCTATACAAACACACAAAGCCATGCACACAGACAAAGAAAGATAAAAATACAGGCTTTTCAATGTGTACTAGATATCATATAAAAGCACATGCACACAGACACTGACGCACACTCCCTCTCTCTCTTTATCTTGCTCCTTCACAACTACCATAGCGGAAAATCCATTAACAGGATCATGGTACTAATAGAGAGAGAGAACATCACACACATGCTATTCATAACATTGGATGTATGAACCAATATGGAATGGTTTATAAATCCATACTGTAAGTCCATTTCTTGTCGCTCATAATGGGCGGTTCTGGTAACACTGTGCTTGGAACCCCCTGTGGCCCCCCTCCAAAAGAATAAATCTATGATGATGCAATTTGTGATAGTGTTGCAGCCAGTACTGTGCTGTATTGTGGGAAGATAACAGGAATGGGTATTTTTTCAGTAATGTAATTAAATACATCGAAAATAAGTTACTCAAACAAATTCTGTTACTTAGACAAATACCAAAACATATTAAGAAATAAAATAAAAACAACGTTTGGCTGCATAAATAATGTATTATTGCCCCAAACAGCATTTAGGTTAAAGGTGGGGTAGGTAAGTTTGAGAAACCGGCTCGAGATACACTTGTTGTTATATTCCATGGAATGCTCTTAACATCCCGATAGCAATGAATATCTTAAGTGCTTTGACAAAAAATCCATAAAGAAATGTCATCTGTGGAAGCCGTAGTACTGTAAAAAGCACGACCAATCATTTTAGCCGGCCCGGCTAAAATAACTGGATGGCCTACCTGCCTGTCAGCCTTCCATCTGTGCACAAACTTATCTCGTGCCCTCATTGGTCATGTGCGCGTTCGTGTGTGTTGGAGGAAGGGCTCTGTAAGGAAGTGGCAGATTTGTTCCGGCTGTGTATTTTCAAATTCTAGCGCACTCGAGCTGGTTTTTCTAAAATTACCTACCCCACCTTTAATGTGTTAAAAAAAATGGTAACGTCATTGACACAAATTCTGTTTTTTTGGTGCGGTATGACTTTACACTGAACTGAAAAAAGTTTAAATCTTGAACACTGTCTTTGTCTCCCTTGTCCAGCATCAAATGTGCCCCTCTCATTCACACAACATTGGTCTAGAACCGCCATTGTGGCTCATACCTTCAGCATGGATCCATTCTGAAAGACGTGCTGCTCGTCACACACCACGCAGTACTCGTTGAGCGTGGGGATCCTCTGCTCTGAGTACTTCATTATCTGTTGGGAGAAAAAGCAGAGTGGTGCTCTCAGTTATCATTTCTACCTCCAGCGCTGTAATAGAATAAAGATGAATTAAGCAGCAGAAATGTCACAAAACTACCATTCAGTACAGCAGCTTCGACCAGTGGGACAGTGTAACTAAGTACATTTACTTAAGTTCTGAACTTAAGTAACAAATAGAGGTGCTTCTACATGACTCAAGTATTTTTACATTATGCTACGTTGTACTTTAACCTAACTTTATTTTGAAGGCAAATGTTGTACTTTTTACTCCACTGAATACATTTGACAGCATTAGCTACTTTGCAGATTTACTACTACAAAACACAGAAATCTGATATATTATTAAAGGTTAAGATACCCAGCAGTATACAAACATTTTCAAATAAACCCCACCTTTACCTAAGTGCAAAATGGGAGTGATGAACACATGAGTGCAATCATAATTATAAAACAATAATTATTATTGTAGTAATTGTAATAAGGTAACATTAGCTCAATTTTGATAGCAGGACTTTTAAATGTAATTGAGTAATTGTAGTATTGCTACTTGTATATAATTCTGAAATTGAGCATTTTGAATACTTTTACTTTTAGTAAGTATATTTTGATGCTTATACTTTAACATAGGTTACATTTTTAATGCAGGACTCTTACTTGTAACTAAGTATTTGTTCACTGCAGTGTTGCTACACATATAATTCAGGAATGCACAAAATAAGTAATTGCAGTTTTTGTACTTATACTTATAGTATATTGATTGTTGCTAATACTGTTGTACTTTTACTTGAGTTGTATTCTGAATGCAAGACTTTAACTTGTAACTGAGTATTTGTACACTGTAGTATTGCTACTTTTACTTTAGAATTGAGTACTTCTTCCACCTCTTGCTACGACTGGTTTAACCTATAATATGGTCCCACTGTTGCACAACAACACACTTTACCCCCCCCCCCTCTGCTCCCAGCTCATATCTCCCCGGGATCTAACCTGCACTAAGAAGCCATACTCCAAGGTAGGGATGTTCTTGCAGTGGCCGCCCGCCTGGGATGAGAAAAACAATTCAATCAGCTGCCTCGTGGTAATCTGCGCAGGGGCCCTGGCCGCCGGGACAGCCACAGTCTGATGAGTCAAGTGAAGACAAAGCATTATGGGAAACGGCGCAGCAGCCATGTTACGGTGGGTGGGGGGGAGGAAAGGCTCAGGTGGGAACAGTGCAGGTGGCAGGAGACTGAGAAGAGGGTAAGAGTGGGTTACAGTGTATTAAAACAGAAATATACAGTGCCTTAGACAGCAGGCAGCAGCAGTTCATGAGTTTCTACACAAACGCAGTGTCAAGGTTCAGAGCTGTGACATCAACACTGTGACCACAACTTGACATGTGAGTGAAACATGTTAAAGACTAATAACAGGGTTTCTGCAGGTTTCAACAAGTTCCATTCAGATTTCAGAAGAACATTTTAAGAATGCATTGAATACAATATAAGATACATTTGTGTTTTTGGAGTCATACAGGAGAAATATGATTGGAAATGAGTACGAATGAAAATGATCATATAATTGTTTGAAATACAATAATCAACTGACATGTTTAAAGTGAAAAAGTTATGTACAACATCAATAATTACATTCATGTTTGAGATAAAGTTCTTTTGAATGTAGTATAAGCAAAGAAATGACAACCCTCTTTTTTTGTAGGTAATACAACATTAAAGCATTTATTTTAAGACCTATAAAATCACATTTTTTACAAGTAAGGACGATTTTAGGACTTCATTTCAGCAACCTTTTAAGGACCTTCTGAAACCCTGACATAAGTAGGAGAACAGTGGGATTGTGTTAATTCCTCAAATGAAAATCTAAACTGAGAGGTGTGTGATTGATGCCCAGTACAGGCTGACACTGACCTGGCTGTTGGGGGGGTAGCTGAAGAGCTCCCCTTTGGGGTTCTTCATGGTGCACGAGATGGAGCGGTTCATCAGGCGCGTCACCCTCAGCTCAGGGACGCTCAGCTTCCCTTTCAAAACGGTGTCTTGGATCAGAGGAAAACTTGGAGACCTAAAAAAAAAACAAGACAAAATTCATGCATATTACTTTACCAAGCATTTATCTATCTTTCTTCTAACTTGGAACGCCAAAACAGAAATGTGTTTGTTGTTTCAGAAGTGTATTGTTTGAAAAAAGCCGAATTAATTATAATAGAATTTGCATCATCGTAGTTATACCATATAGTCAGTGCCTGGTTAATGTTATAGTGAAATGCACACTCACGCTACACTTACATTATTATATCAGCTTGCACAAACTACAATCTGTTAGTTGCTAGCTGTTATTGTACAATGATCACCATCACTTTTATCCATGTACTCTCTTGAAATGATACTCCTGTCAAGTAGTAAGCATGTCAAGATAGCCTAGCAGTTGTGAGGCTGACCTCCATCGGGGGGGTCGAGATACGATCCCAGTGCACCCTTCACTGTCAAAGCATCACACAGTCAGACAGAGGCAGAGAAGAGTAATCCCCCCTTAGGAAATTGGTTGACAGTGTCACGTTTAGAGTTTGAGTCTATCGTACACATGCAAAGTCAGATATTTTTCTCCTGCTTGTCTTCCTTGCTACAGTCTTTAAAAGCACAGACCCCCACAAAGTATTTATTTCACTGTCTCTCTATCGTCCAACAGACATCTAGGGACTTGGGATATAGCTCACATGCATGTTGGTAAAGTAAACGTATTAATATAGCACCTTTCTAGATTTTATGTTGCAAAGAGCTTCCCAATAGATCAAAGGAGAAAGTCAAAAGAAAGGAATTCAAATTCAAAGTGAAAAATACAATAGAAATTTAAAAATTAACACAAACTGTAGACATCATCTCATGAAACAGGATATTTCCTAGTAAGTATCCAGAAAGAGGCATCATATTGTGACTAGGTACAGACTGAATCACAGAAATAAACCTAATCTTCAACCTTCTGTTATTTCCTAAAGACCTACAACCGAACAAAGCTGAATTGTCATGTAAAAATAGCATCATTTTAGTTACAGGAACACTTAAAAATATCTTACGACTTCCCAAAAGTGCAAGAACATTTGCAGATGTAATGCTAAAAATACCACAAAAATAGCCTGATTGTGTTCTGTACTTGAGGTTATTTCCTCTGTGCTCTTCTCCCTGAGTGATTGCCGACACTTGAAAACAGTGAAGTGTTTAGAAAATAGATCAGGACATGTCCTAATAAAATGTTCAAGACGTCAGTAACTTAACTGAGCATCACATCAAAGTATAACAGCTTAACTCCTTGTTGACGTGTTGATTTTGTAATGGAATTATCATTGCTGAAAATGTGTGTTTATTTTAAAATAACAATCTATTGGATTGTCAATCACAGACTCAAAAAAAGATGCTAATTTTCAGGTACATATTTGTTTTTGGCCCTCTTCTGTGACATGTTTTAATATTCAGAAAGGGCTTTATTTTTCTCATACTGCCTGTGCTGCAGCAACTCTTTTCACCCTCTGTCTGAAACCAGAGCCCAGTCTGCTGTTAGCTGGTCGGCTCTGTTGTGATTGGTCAACCGCTTATTAAATGTGTTGGAGGGCTAGCCAATAGAAGCATGTGTGTCACATAGTGATGTGATTATGTTACGGAAGTAAACAAAGGAGTCAAACTTGAGGCAGGGGGGGGAGTGTGTGGGAGAGAAACTCCGTCTGGGGGGGACTTTGGGATTTTAGCCTTTGCAGAACATTTACATGCACAAAAACCTATGTAACACACTGCAGGAAAGGGTAAACCCCAAAAGGCATAATAGGGCCCCTTTAAATGTGTTGCATGCTGTTTATGAAACACAGTCATGGTTGTTAGGATGTCTTGAAAGAGATACAGAGAGAGAGAGAGACCTACTTGGGTATGGGGGAGAAGATGCTGAGCCCGGCGCGGAACTTCTTGATGGTTCCCCCGGCTTTGAACCAGCTGTGCCTCTTCTCCTGCTGGGCCTTGAGGAACTCATTACTGAGGTGCTTCCACTGCTGCGAGGTGAAGGTGCTCAGGATCCTGATACGGCACAAATAAGGAAGATTGGTGAGTTAACATTGAAGTGGTGGATTACGCTTTAAATCTCCTTCTTTTTGTTGTACGCATTATTATTTTTTGTCAGTGGATAAATCAGCCAAAAATGAAAAAGTAAATAATCTGGTATTTGTATTTCTGATGCTGCACATTTGAGGTTACAATCCCCAAGAGTTTTGTTTAAATAAATGTATGTTAAGTCACTATATTTCACCCACTGATGAAAGTATTATATTTGCACTAATGTGAGCTGGACTCTTTGGTGATATTCCAGGAAAACATCCTGTATAAAGTGTCTCCTAATGCAAACCAAACAGTTCCTACAGCAGCTTCACATTAAAACATTAAACTGGTGAAAAATAAGTTAACATTTAGTGTGAATTAGTCACAGGAAATGCAATGTGTTTAAACATGACATTGGTTGCTATTCATAATAAAAAATGCAGCCGAAACCTGATAGCAGTCTGTATTTTTTTAGATATATTGCAGGGTAGAGTATAGAGCACAGTGAAGTGTTAGATGAAGAGCTGCAGGCTGCAAACCGCCAATTTCTCAGCCAGGTAACAAAGTACTTTCAGTTTTTTGCAAACTCATGCCGTGCGTCGCATGCAAACCGGGTCACGGTTGTTAACAGAATGATGGAAAAGGACTAGGTACTGCCTGAAATCCTCATTAAAAAGAGAATAGTTTGTTTTGCTGCCACCAGTTTTCTTGGACCCAGGCGGGAAGTATTCACCTACAGTTTCTGATACCATATTTATATTGGGTCTTAATCTTAAGTATTGCTAGTAGAGATTCACTATGAAATGTTCGTGGCGTCAACAAAAACAACTTACTTTTTGAGCTGTAGGCCGAGGCTGAAGCCTTCTTTATTGGAGGGCTGGAACACCTCGACTGATGGCTCTGAGTAAAGATGACTAACATTATTACACAGTGCACAGAAACACACTCTCACTTCTCACTCTCCCTCTTGTATAGCACATATTGTACTCACCTCCCACGCTCAGTGAGTGGCACAAATACCTAAAGTCCCTCCCAGAAAACCAACATCCACACTGACATCTTTACTCACCAGGTCCATCGAGGTACTGAGAAAGAGAAAAGCGCAGTCTCAGAATAATGGGCTCTGTTCTGATAACTTTCCAAGCTGTCGCAACCTCCTCCTGAGTCAGACACACACACATACACACACATATACAGAGTTAGCATCCTAATTAGGGCCATTTCTCATTGCATAAATAAATTACGAGCACACGATGCATTATACATGATGTGTTACTTTGCAAAATATCAACGTTGGAATAGTAATGGGGAGAGAAGGAGGAGGTGTGTGCAGGGAACGAGGAATGCTGACTCACATCTAAGAAACCGATGTTAATGTGAAGATCGATGTCCACGTCATCAATGGTTCCATACTCCCTGTGAAGAGACGAACAAAAACAGAGTCATTCATCATAAGTAATGAGATGCACTCAAACATTTTCAATATCCCGTTGTGTTTTTTTCCTATTTCGCAGACAGTGCCTAGTGGAAATGAATACATTATGACTCTGAATTGTCTCATGTAAAAATCTTTTCAAAATAGGTCTTACACAGTTGTGTTTCTGTGTGTGTTGTTGTGTTTCTGTACAGTACCTCACAGAGACAGCACTGTCAGTGTAGATGTCTTTCACTGCCTCGATATCTGCATCCAGCTGAGGGTGGCGGTACAGGTCAGCCGCACAGCTCCCCTGTAAACAGCAGTATATTAACACTGAAGCTCACAATTATACCCTTCAGTGACCCCATCTGTCATCATCCTAATGTGTTCATTTATTATATGATTTTCCCAGGACAATGCACAATGATCGACATCACTTCACATGGGCCAGTGTAAGCCAGAAAAGCTAATTATCAACTGTTGTCCAGATGTTAAAATGGCCATTAAAAAACACAAAGTGCACAACATGTCAAATTTAAACCAGAGAAAGCAAAGCATGAACAGCTGAACAGGAGAAAAAAGCTAAGAGCGGTTCGGCAAGCATATCATGCAAAGTAGGACATGTTGTGTGCAGGAAATCAATACACAAACAATGTTAACAATATATTATTGACATTTTAAACTGTATACCCCGGTTATCTAGGCTCTTTGTTTTGTTTAAATGTATACCCCGTTTATCTAGGCCCTTTTTGTTTTGTTTTATGTATACATGTCACACTGTAGGACTGCGGGAAACGATATTTCGAGATTTCTGGATGTATAACACATGTAGAATTTTTGACAATAAAGCTGACTTTGACTTTGAGAAGAGTTTTTATGATGCATATTTAACAGAAGGATGTTAAGAAACTGTGTAAACTGTCAGATGTTTTCCTTTTTGGGACAACCATGTCCACTCTAATTCTTGATCCGTTTAATCTATATTCAACATTTTTCTGAAGGCTGAATGTGGGGGAGCTGCTAATCCATCAAGACAACTGCATATTAACAAGCATTGTGAAACTTAATATGCATTTTCCAAGAGGCCATTCTATATCATATCATCACACTAGGAGGTATAGTACAGTAACGGGAGCATTTAGTATTATTATCCATGCTTTAATATTGTTTCAGTGGGGGACAGATTGAGAGTTAATACAGTAATATGTGAGCATGGATATAAATCTAAGCAGTTTCAACATTTGGAGATTATTTTAAACTGGGTGTTATTAAGGACACATTTGATATTGTTTCTATTTAAACCATTTAATTATAACTTCTAACTATTTATTATTTCAACTATTTATTCACTGGTTTTAGATTCCTGTTCAGACTTCTCTGCTTATTTTTTTACTAATCTTAAACAGATTGTCAATTGCAACACTACAGCTGACCTTATATAGAAACGTGTTTTAATTCAAATATGTTCTTCTCACATCAGATGTGCGTCTGAATATCTCGCCTCAGCAAAGACTTTTGTCCAAATACATTTCAAAAACTGTAGGCATACATTTGTCATTTTTCAGCTTCAATTTCCTGAAATACATTCTGTGGTTACCTCAGTACATTTGCTGTCCTCCATAAATAACAACTTATTAAAGTATTAATAACAACAGTTGATCTAAGTTTGTCATATTATGTCTAGACTTGAAGTCACACTCCTCTCCTGAGCTCTGAGTGCAGATCTTTCACTTTCATCCTTATCTTCACTGCGCTGCTTTCATGTTCTCTGGCTGCATAGAAATGAGCTCTAAGTTCCCAGACTGGATTTACATTTCAATCACAGGACTTGGAAGATAACAGTAAAAAGGATGACTAACAGATTAAGATCTTGTATGGAAGTGAAGCATTGAACTTTATGAGATTATACAAGAAATAGCATCCAGAAAAAAATATTCTGTGTTGCTTGGGACTTCAAGTGTGTTGAAAAGCTAAACCTGTATAGTACTTGAGTGAAAAATCTAATATGTGCTTTTGTCAGTTTGTAAAAATTCATATTTTGGACACAGCCCAGAACCTTGTCAAACATTGGGACATTGAATATCCTTCATATTAATGTATATGTTTTCCCTGCATTAGGGGACGCATTAACATAGTCCATCTGTTCTGACCTACTAGAGCAAAATATTAACTACTGGATTACTATTAACCCACTGCATTATATTTTGTCTGAATATGCATAATGCTCAAACCAAATCCTAGGTCTGTGGTTTTCGGCAAAACCAACTCAAACAATCAAACAACTTACAGCAGAGGATCTTGTAAGTCGGTAAAACACAAACATATCCGAAGCATTTTTACAGTTTGTTGGGAACTAAAACAGTATTTTTGGTATAAAAATACCTACATTTGAGAGTAAAGTAATGTGAATCATTGCCAATCATTATAAAAAACAACATTTTCCGACATACAACCAGAAAGGACACATAGATTGAATGTAATGTAATCCAGTAGCCTGTGCTTTACCTGAATGCCATACAGGAACTGTTCGGACTCGTTCTCCCCGTCCGACTCCTCGTCTGTCCAACACTGGCCTTTGATGTCCTGTGGGCCCACACATTGTGAAAAGGCCATTATAGTGGAGCGGAAAGAAAATGCAACCTCTCTCTCTATCATCCTTTCATCTCACGTCCTTTCTCACATCTCCCTATTTAGCCTCGCGTTCAAAACACCCAGCTTCAAAACAATGCTTTATATAACATCTCAAAGAGAGACATGAAGAGGAGTGATCTATTTCTAAAAAGACAGGAAATGCTCTAAATTCAACCTTCAAAAGAATACTCAATTTACGATCATTGATGAGATCCTTTTATGTTTTTTGGGAGAAAATAACCATGTCTGTTGTCATTTCCAGCAAAGCCTGATGCCCGGAGGTCCTGTTGGAAAACCCCACAGTATTTAATCTATACATTGACATTAAGCTAATACAACATCCTAATATCTATGAAAAGGCTGCACTCCTGTTAGCATTGACGGCAAAGTAATTTAATTTAATGTACCACTTTGGTACATCTTAAACACACCATGCATGGATGACACAGCTTAATCGTATGCAGTGGTTACACCAATAGAATCCTAGCTGTCTTACCATTGGGTCTGCTGTTCATAGGGCTCACTCAGACAGGTTTAAACCTTTGAATACTGCTGACCATTGCAGCGTATTTCCAGGTGGAAGGAACGAGAACGGAAATCCGGAGAGCTTTGTCTGACCACCTCTCTTTCTCGCACTCTTCAGAACTGCAAAACCTGGGAGAAATAGACATTACAAATCAGTAAAGGATGGAAAACGTGAAACAAAGAGGCCATCATGCCTAGCTTTGTAAACGGTGCCCTCCTTTTTTTCTTTCAATGGTCTGCACTTCACCTTGCCATGTTTCCTAGCAACAGCCATCTCTGGTTCCTTTCAGAGTGGCATTAATCACTGTGGAGAGAATGTGTGGGAGATATCTGCTGAACGTTCAGTACCCAGGATGTATCCATTTCTTTGTTTTGTTTGTTTTTCCCCACAGCAAATGTACCTATTAATACCGAAGCACCAAAAGTTGGCACACCTTTATTGAGCTAAGCGAATGATGTCATTGTTAAACTGACGTGTTTGATTGGCCTGGATGATTTATATGGAAGGAAATGGTTGAAGCGCCATGTTATTCCTGGGTTAGCATAAGAAGAAGGCATTGTTTGCACACATTGTTTGTTAAGTAAAAATAAATAAAAGACATTTCCCAAGAATTTAAGAAAATACAATAAAGGTTGCCTATAAATGGTGGGAAAAATATTGAATATGAGGATACAAATTGTAAGGGAAAGCAAAATGTGTGATATAACAGAGGCAGCTACAGTACACTGCATTTAATGGCGGCCCATCACATTTTGTGTCAGACATGTAAACAACGAGCGTGATGTTCTTTCAACAAGATTTAAAGCTGCAGGTGCAGAGTTGCATAACTCACACTGCAGCATCATAATACACATTACAATTTGCATTGTGTAGTGGATGTCAAACCAAAATAAATGACATTTCTTAATATTTAACAGTACTGAATCTGACAATCAAAGACTGGATGGCAATGGCTTGGCCCTCGAGAGCAGACTGCCTTAACGAAACCACTAAGCATGAAGTCATCTATGCTATACATATGACAATGTAATCAAATGAACACCAATTATACATCTTTCCCCTTGTTTGCTGGGCTAACATAAGACACTAAGCTCATCTCTACCTTACATTGGGCTATTTTCCACAAAATGAAGATCTGTGTTTCTCTCCCTGATCGAGAATATCTGTCTTTTATTTGTGTCGCGGCTCCTCCAGACATCCACTGCATCCTATTAAACAAAGCTCCCTCGTCATCACCATCTTCCGCTTCAGCTCCTCTCCTTGTCCCTATACGTCTGCTGCTCTGCCATATATTTAACCCTGCAAGCACCTACACCAACCCCCCCCCCCCCTCCTAACCCCCCCCATCATTCCCATAGCCGCTGTCGTCTCACATACCAATAGAGTCGGTGGCAAAATGAGCCCCCCACACACACACACATCCACCATGGCCGACCCCATTCTGATCATATTTAACACAAACACAGATGCAGTCAGACGGATTTTCCCCTCCCCCCCATGCTCCGCACCCCCACCCCATCCATCCACACTTACCTCCACAGAGGATGGAGACTCGGATGCCGTCCTTGCCTCAGCTGCTCCCCCTCTTAAAGGGCACACCTGCCTTTCTCTGTCTCCGTGGCTGTTTTCCACTGAAAATATAGATGACAATAACCCCATTAAAATAGGATTTGTTCGAGAAACGAGAGCCACTATTCCCCAGTTCTACAGCGCCTGTGTCTCAATGCGTGCGGTGTGTGTCTGCGAGCAATCCAACTGGTGTGTGTGAGTCTGTGTGTTTATCTATTGCAGATCTCTGCTGCTGCTGTTGCTGCTACTGCTGCCTTGTATTTTGCCTGACAACACTGAGGGGTCTGAGCATGCTCAGTGAGAGCAGGCAAGCAAGTCATGTGACCTGCAGCTGACTGCACTGCTGCTGCTGAGAAATAAGAAGAAAAATGGAGGAAAATGGCTCTACTCGTGTATATGCGTCTGCCTGTGTGCGTGTGTTTGTGTGTTGTGTGTGTGTGTATGATTGCATAAGTCAGTGTCTATTGCAGTTCAACCATGTTTGGAGTCAGATTATGGATAATACTGTCTCATCTAAATATATTAAAAGAAAGAAAGCATAAATATGATCCTTTTTACAATGTGCTTTATACTTAAGCACTGCATGTTGTATAGACGCTGAAATGCATAAGCTTAGTTAATATAATATCACATTTATATTACAATAACAATAGTTGTATTTAGTAATATCAAAAACAAATATTGCAACAAATATCATTTCCTTTGTATCTATGATACAGTGTGTTGTACGGATATGTGAGACAATTACCATCAGGCCTTAACTAGAGTTAATCAGTCTTAACCCTTATTATCTCAAGGTTCAATTTAAGAAGTGACCTAAAAACTGAACATGCGTTAGTCTTACTGTCTGATCAGTGTGTGGCTGTAGCCAGGATATAGGAGAAAATTAAGATATCTTTAAACATTCATTTGGCACACAATGCAGCAGCTTAAGGGCATTGACCACAATGGCACAATATAGATTGGGAAACATATTTGACACCGTTTATTTTGTCAATCCTGCTTATATTCTTATAATGCCTGGTACTTCTTGTATATGAACAGGTGTTCCAGGTTCATGATTACATGTTTTTCCTATAGTGCAACTGGATGGAGGAGGTGGAAATGCAGATTGAAATAAAAATGTTTTTCTTTGCTCCATGTTACTAAATCAATATTCCAACATACAGTAAGTGCCGTGGAACTTTCTGAATTACAACCACTATCTTTTTTTGTGGAAGAAATGACCTGTTCACTGAAATATTAAATAATTTGCATATCTATAACTTGTTAAACTAAAAACACATCTAAATCTTGTTTCATTTTGTATTTTGCTTCTACAGTTTTCACCCTATACTATGGAAAACCGATTTTTACAATTTCCTCATCTATTGTCTTTGCCTTTTTAATATTATGATAAATGTTATCATCATGCAATATTGATTTTTATGTTTTCTGTGTGCCTTAATGGATATCATTTTATTTCTTCCCTCTTGTATTCATTAATTATAATTTAATTTTAGGTATCACTTGTACTCATGCAGAAATAATACACACAATAGGGTGTCCTAACTGCTCACTGAGATTTATTTGAGCACATTAGCACAGTGTCTTACTGTACCTCATGGCCTGTGAATCACAGGAGTAAGCAGCCAATAATACTGACTGACAGCCAGGCCCTTGGCCAGTGGACAGGGGGACTGGATGGCAGATCTGTCGCTCACCTGGACAGGTGTGTCCATTGGCCTCAGGCAGCGGAGTGGATCCATGCTGAGGCTATTTCCAGCCAGTGGGACAGCAACATGGGCAGTGGGAGCAGCAGTGCCAACACCACCACAGCTGCCAACAGGTGAGAACAGAATAGTGAGAGATGACATGGACTACAGTATGCCACAGGGAGAAAAGAAAAAAGATTAGCAGGGTGCTCTGTACCAAGTACTTATATAAGTATCATTGCCAGGTTGATTTATCTGTTATGTTGCAAGTCTGACTGTTACAAATGTAACCTCCCTGTGGTTGAGACAGGAGACAGTGTTTTTGTCTAGGATTCAGTTTTAGTCTGCCATCTCCTTTGGCAGAGCTTATTAATATTATCACAACACCATAATTAATCTTCCTGGGAACATTTGCAACATGTGTTTTGTATGCTCTGGACAAACAATCCCTATATATGTTGTTACTTTCGGCCATTGGCATAACACAGCTGATTAGCAACAAGATAATATTATGAAATATTCTATAAAATATATATAAAACATATCAATGTTCTGTGTATCTCACAGTTTTCAGGCTCTGTAGGTTCTTTGGAATACACAAATCAACTTTATATTAAGTTGCAATTTGTGTAATTTAGTAGAACAAAAACGGTTGCTTAAAATATGCAATTTCGCAACGTGTGGTTGAAACGCAACCACATAATTAAAGATTATATGATTTGAGAATAATTTATATAATAACATATAACATGTATATTTTATACTCAACATGGTGTTCCTAAAAACCTTAAAATATGCTTAGAGCACATTATTGAACAAATTGTTATATCAGTATTCATCACTAGATGGAGGTATTGCCTCAAACACTGCACAGTAGCAAGGTATCAGGATTCTTGGTCCATCACTGTTAAACTCTGGCTGGCTGCGACTACTAATGCATTTGAGGCAATGAACAATTGCCATTTTATATACAAATATTGCACCAGTTTTGATTCAATTAAAAACAAGGGCTTGAACAATATCTGTGGTATTTTCTACGAGAGTTCGCGTATATTGCAACACGTTTGATTATGCTTTCCATGAACCATTTAGGTAGGCGATGATTTTCATATCCGTAGAATAATGGAGCCAACATAAACTACTGACAACATCACAACATGATAATTGGAGTCGTTAAAACGTGATTTAACTAGACAAGACTAACCGTAGTAACCAAATACTGAGTTTTTTCAGGAAACCACAGCACGCCATCCATAGTCACATGTCGGACTCATGCGACGACGATGCACTCACGCGCCCTCTGATTGGCTCCTTAACTTTACCAAGCACTTCCACCGCGTAACGGCGTATCATTCCGCGTTGATTATAGTTTCTATAATTTCCTCGCTTTTCACAAGAGTATTACTAAAAGAGAACATTCATGTGAGCAGCCTATAATCAATGCAATAGGTAAATAAGGGTTAAGAAGTTGCATTGTTATTTAATGTATCTTCACTCTCTCGGATGGATATGTCTCAGCATCCCTAGAAAGTAGTTCCGCAGAGTGAGGAACTAGGGAGATCACCTTGAGCTTATTTATCACAGTGGAAAGGCACATCGTTCCCTGCAGTTGTTCAACGAGGTAAGGTGGGTATCCTCAACATGGACTGCTAATTGTTCTCTTTAAGTAAACTGATTACTTGTGGGTAAATTATATGACTGCTTTTTAAACCTTTTTGTCTTTTATTGTATGTGTACATCCTGCAAGCTGGTAAGTCCGGGCATGTATGAGTCAACCACTCGTGGCTTGTTTCCACTCTTAACTTATCTACTTTTTAAATTAACATCATGTTCATCTATGCCCAACACGCCTAAATGTGTGTTTTTCATTTTACACAAGCCATTTTTAATCCTGTTCTGCTGGTTAGATATCATTTGTTTTAGCAACGTAGAGATTTGCACTTGGACAGACTGAGGGGATTTATCCGTGCACTCAGCAGATATTTCTGTAACTACCGCACTACGTTTTTGTAATCTTACTTTATCGCTAAACATTGGTATTACATTTAAAATGATAAAATATAAATGTGATGCGTGCAGTGTTGCATTTTCGCTTCCTGTTGCCTCCTCTTGTGGGTGTGGCCGCTGCGTCTTCTCGGCCTCTGATTGGTCAGTTTCTGTGATGACCACTCGATCAGGAAAATGTGACGCAGGATGAGAACGTGACCTTTTAGCGCATCGTGTGCATAGCATATTACATTAAATATACGTTTTATCCGGTGACACAAATGCACCAGAGCTTAATCTTCCCTGCATTAGTTGTGTGTTATCGTCGTACTCCTTTAAATGGCGTGGCAGTGAGTTAGTCATTAGAGAGCTTCGTCACAATCATCCTTTGTATACTTCAATATTCCTGTCACACTTCCACAGAAACACCTGAAATACATCTGAAGCTCGTTTTGACTGTTTTAGAAAATGGGAAAACCATCCCATGATAATGTAGTTGGAAAATATGCACATTGCCTAAGCAGCTACACTGCAGTAGATTGCTGCAGTGCTGCTACAGATAAAATGTCTTGTTGACACTCGATACATGAGAAGAAAGGCAGGTAGCTCCCTAATTTACAGCTTAGTTTAACTGTGCTGCTCATTATAGGCATTAAATAAGGCCTGTTTTTCAGCCTGTTCCACAAAAAAAGAAAGATGATTTGATCAAGGCAAGGCTTCGTTTAATTTTACATTTAAAATTGTGACGACACATCCTTTATCAAATACATACTACAGCATAAGTAGGATATGCATATGATATGGCCTGCTGTAAAGCCACTTGTGCTGTTTTAATAATTGTTTGGTGTATAACTCACGTTTTGGAGAAACTGTCATTGCTATGTCCTTCCTGTCCCTGTTGACAAAATGGAGTCTTTATCCCAGGGGAACTTTTAGGTTATAATGTCAAGTGACTAGGAAAAGTGTCTTTCTGTTTACCTAAATCTTGGCTGTTAACTTTTAAATATTTGCCTATGTGGTCTGGTCTTTAGTCTATCATTCTTTAGATATAAACTGCTGACATAAATAACAATAAGTAACTATATACTGTGAAATTGTCATTTAAACTGTGGTTGTTAATATGCTTATACTTTGAGTAGCACTTTGGTAGGTAATCATTGATTTTCAAAGATGATTGCGCATTTTGGAGTCCTCCAGCTACTGGAGTTAATGAATGGGAATACTATAATTGTTCTGTTCTATATCGGGTTAAAAGTAACTTAATCTATCGGTTTTTGACCTGGTTTCATGGAAAGGTAGTTTAGTTGCAGCTGATCTGGTGGTCAGTGCAGTAGGCCTTTTGCAGCTGGTGCTGCTCTCATGCAGCCTCCTCCCCACCAAAACTGCATGTTTGCTGACTAATGCTATGTGGAGGCATGCGGTGGAAGACTACCAATTATGGGTAAATCCCTTTGCTACTTCAGACACACTTGACTGACTGCACTGACTCAATTTGAGGTAAGGTGCTTGGGTTTACCATTTACCATGTGTATTTTAATTGCATTGAACATGCACAGCATTCTTTACCATTAAGTAACTTAGATGTACCCTTATCTGTCATTTGTTTTGGAGTATACAGGCCTTGTTTACTGGCCCACATAGTGTAAATACCATAGTACATGCTGAGTGTTGGATGTGCAAACAACTCTGCATGCTGTGCGTTATTATTAGCCATGAGGCAGTTTTTAGGCCTGGGGGGTTATATGACCTAGGTTAGTGCTGCACTGTGGTGTGTCGTGGTAGAAGTCTCATGTACGTTCATTGTATCTGGCAATGGCGATTGCTCGGTCACAGAAGGATCTGTCGGTTGCCATTATCCTCATTGAAGGGATTTACTCTTGAGCATCCTAATGTGTCCTACGCATGCACGCGCACTGCAGCGGTCGGATCTGCTTGGGCTGCTGTTGCAGGGAGGGGTTTTCTCATTGGCGTTGGAAGCTGCAACACGCTGGGGTTGTTCTGGAGGTCATTGGCTGTAAGGTGTCTGTTTGTTCCAAGGAGCAACAGTAAGATCCACTGGGGGTATGTACTGCAACTTTCAAAACGGTGCTTGTTTGAGTGAGTGCGACTGAAAAATGTTCTACTGTATGTGAGCCCACTAGGATAAGCCCGATGTTGCGTCGCATCCATAGTAGATGATACTGAATGTCATGTCATCCTGATAGCAATGCTACTACTGCATGGCTGCTCATGTTTGCACAGGTGTGTGTGATAAGGAATAATGAAAAAGACAGACAAAGATGGTGACTGAGAGCATGTTAACAGAGAGTATGTTTCAAAGGTTGAAGGGATTGGAGGGGATTATTAGCAGCCAGATCTAAAATTAGCCCTGCATCTGTGTCAGGGTTACTATGGCTGCTGTTGGCCAACGGTGGCTGCTAACTGGCTGTTCCGGGGTCAGACACACTATCCATGTCTGTCAGTCAGCCAATTATGAAATGTTGTACCTCCATAACAACATTACTGCACTTGGTGAAGGATAGTCACTACCTGATTTTTTTCTTTTTGTAATGTTTTATCAGGAGAATATGTTACATTCCCTCTGATACTTTAGCTCTGTAATAACATCTCAGCTGAGGATACAGGCAGAGTTGCCTGAGGATAACCTTTCATATACTTAGTTGTTGACTAATGAAATTTGACCCCATGAGAGTAATAAAGGACCCTAATTCCATTACGTTTTGCCAATTTGTGTTGGGACACACATTTCAAGTCCTGGAAATGTTGAGCTGAGGGGAAAGACACTTCCTTAATAAGGCTTGCTGTAAATGGAGGAAAATTATGATTTAAATGGAAATACATTATGCTAAAGCATTCTCGGTTGCTGTAATCACATTATCTTGCAGTGGCAACTGTTCTGAAGCTATGAATCCGAAGTCAGACAATTTAATGACAATTGGATCTTTGCAAAGAACTACCTTAAACCTACTCTCAACTTTTCCCTAGGTCCTCCCCTTTCACTGTTGAAACTGTAACTGCTAGTATTCATTTCATTTCAAACCTTTATTTATCCAGGTGACTCCCTTGAGATCAATTGATCTCTTTTTCAAGGGAGACCTGCTATTGCATTGTCTTTAGTAGTACATTAAACTGTGAAGTTGTAATCTTTATTGGTCATGCTGCAATAGCACACCATTTGCGGAAGATACTTTACTAGATGGCTTCAATTAGCATGACCAGAGAGTTCAATGTATATAGTTATTCTTAAAAGGCAATTTGTTTAGGTCAAAGAGACCTTCATAAGTCAATATTGCCTCAAATAATGAATCGTATAAAATATGCAACAGCTCTCTGTAGCCAACAAAGATCTGATGTTTTTAATGGAGAAGAACATAAAACACTTAACTCAATTATCATCGTCAGGTGTAACATGTATATTTGTTCTAATTCTGGTAATTTGCCATTTAAATTCACATTTAGTTAAGACCACTATTCTGTTTCATTCATTCATAAATACATTTATAAAACAGTGGCTGCCAATATGCAGACTCTCTATTTTTTATTCCCCCTCTGCAGTCTTTTCCTGTGGTTCAGTCCACTAGGATGTCAGCTCCCAGCCTTGCCCATGGTTGTGTGTTGCAGTCGTGGGATGTGACTGTGCTCACGTACAGCAGTGGTCTGCCCCTCTGCTGTTACATCATCAGCCAGGAGACCCAGTTAAAAGAGCCAGCTGGTATACGGGTCTGCCTGGAATCCCCCACTGTGATGCATTCAATGAGTTTTTTCAGAGAGGCTCAATGATCGTGTCTTTAGGTGCAGTTGTACCACCCACAGATTCAGGCTATTTATTTGTACCCGTAGGTAGATTTGGTTTGCAGATAAAGGACAAGGGATCCATTACGACACACATTCTAAAACACCAGTGGACAAATGTCCTGCAGCAATCAAAAATGTGCCATCTTCTGTCTATTTTCCAGCTCTCCTCCCTTTACGCACACATCAGCCTTTGCAGTTTTTGCTTTTCAAGATGGCAAAATCCTCTTGTTTTGTAACTGACTTGCAAAATCTATTGCCTAACAGACACACTTCTGGGTCTAGATTAGCATTTTTTTCCCACGTTTGCACTTCCTGTTAAGTGTTAGAAATTCAGAACAGGTCTAGAGGGAATCCTATTAGGTTGACAGGGTTCTTCTTCCCTTAAAGAGATATCAGTCACCCTGTTGCTCTGCCAAAGAATCAACCAGTGAGTGTTCTTTGTTGAAGTGCACTTCACTTTATAATTTAAACAAAGAGAACCTGATCTCTCTGCTGGGTGTTTTGTACTCCATCTCGAGATTGCACATGGTATGTAGTCATTTTATTCTTTAAGTTATTGAGTAAAATGTACCTAGCGATAATGGTACTTTCTATCAACTACTTTCACATCCTTATATTTAATCTATTTCATGATTGTTTTACATGAAGTTCTACTTGTGTTATCATAATCCTTTTGTTATCTTAATTTGTATTCCTCATTAGACCATCTTTTTTTTAAATTGTAAAATATTCTATCCTTATTTGGGAAATTGCCTTATACGTCTAAAATTCATGATCTTATATAGTATTATTAGGGATGTCCCGATCACCTTTTTTTGCTCCCGATCCGATTCCGATCATTTGATTTTGACAATCTGCCGATACCGATTTTTCCCGATCCGATCTTTATGCAATGCATTAAGAGGAAAAAAAAGGTAACAGATAACGGCTGGTCATCCAACGCGATGAATTCAGCTATCTTGGCTGTTATTTTTTTGGCCTTTTCACTGTTCTGGGGTAGTTTCTCTTTCCTTTTAAAAGTCTCTGAAAGTGTCGGTTGTTTCAGTGCCGTTACCTGAGTGGCCGCTGTGTACTCGTCGTGTTGTTGTTGGTGTTTGTATTAGATTGGTCGTGTTGAACGTAGCTCTGTTCTTTCCACCACGCGGAACCTCCGCCTTGCAAACATTGCATCTGGCTGTTACACTGCCTTCGCTTTCAATTTTATAATACTTCCAAACTCCTGACATTTTCTCTGTCCCGACTCCCGAGTCACCAGCTGAACGTAGCCTCTTGTTAGCTTACTGCTACTATTAGACACTGCGCCCACTCTGTTGCCAGATTTGAGAGAAATAAGCAACCAGGTCTATGAAAACAAGCCCAAAAGAAGCAACACATACATGATGTTGTGTAATTTTAACCCAAAACTAAGGCCTCAGGATGACTTTAAGACGTGAACATGGTCATTTTTGTTTTGTAACATTAAATAAAATGTATAAAAATATTTTATAAAAAAAAAAAAAAAAAAAATCCGATCCCCGATTTTTTTCTCCCGATCACGTGAAAATCACGTGATCGGCTCCGATCCCCGATCACGTGATCGGATCGGGACATCCCTAAGTATTATGTACTATATTCTCACAATGTATTTTGTTGATGGGATCTATGGAGTGTGAGAAGAACAGGAAGGGGATAGAGTGCACATCTAATCCCACTTGGGTAGATGTGGATCATTGATAATGCAGTAGAAACATTTAGGTATTCTGCCCACTGAATTTCCACTCTTAGCTTACGAGTATTAATAGAAGCAAGATGTTGTCCAGAAAGGTTTCACTTAAAGTAAATTAAAATAAAACAGTGGCACTTTCTCCCCATCTCACGAGGATCCAGTACTTGAATCGAACACGTTTCTGCTTGCTATCAAATCACCAGCTTGAACGCTCCACCAAGCATTTCAGCCTGTCAGATGGCCTGTTATGTAACTACAACAAATAGAGCCGTAGTAGAAGCAACATTCCTCATCAGAGTATTCCTGCTACTCCTTCCTCGAATACACCTAGCTTTATTGCTACCTGTTGAGACATGCCCCAACGTTAATGCATGCCCCAACGTTAATGCGTGTATGGAGTGCTCATAATTATGTCAGGAAGACAAAAGGGAAAAAAGGAAGTGTTAAAGCCAGGCTTTAAGCACCCGGTTTGCACATGACAGTATTGAGACACAGGATACGATGTAATATCTCTTCTGTGCTACGGTGTACAGTATTATTTTGTTCCTGTTCTGGTTGAAAAGGAATGATGAAAGCTTGGCAGGTCAAGCCCTGTAGATGTGCTTCGTGCTGGTGTCGTTGCCATGGGTGACTCAGCAAAAAGTGGGTGGGAACAGCATGTACGATCAGCTATACTGCTCCACTCGCATGATCATGGCAGCAGTGAGGTGCAATGCAGAAGAATTAACACATCCTTTGGCGATTCATATCCACATTCTTAAATCTGTACACATTCAGAAGATGGGTGTTTCCCTCAGGTGTCGTATTCATACGTGTATTCACTGTAGAAGATGATCTTGTTAGCTGACAAAAACACTTTTATTTAATAGAAATTGCAGTGGCAACATTTCATCAGCCTCATTAGTCTGTATTGTGCTGTTTTGGTGGCTGCAGTAAGTAAAATAAAATAGACATGCTGGAGGTGAATAACAACCATTTTTAGCCCTGTAGTACGTCAGCAAGCAATGTGATAATTTGATTCCCACTGGGGCATTATCCTTTCACTTTACTATCACAAGGTTAGCTTCGAATCAGGATTAGGTGCAGTCGGTGTGTTGAGAAGGAAAGTCAGCGGGGGGGGATCCGGTGCCATTACTATCTGGCCAGGGTGACCTCTGTGGGAATTAAATCCCTCATCCGAGATCTCTCAATCCACTGAGTTATACTAGAGTTGACCACAGTGAAATTGTGCTTGCTACCAGTCTGCTCTCAGTCTTGTAACACAATTTAACCAGCAATGGTTTAAAAGTTATATTCTGTTTTGAAAGGATTTCAGTAATCCTGTACTGGTCCAACCAAAGAAAGCTGTTGAAGATAACAGTCTCCTTTTTATATTAACTATTTTCTCAAATGTTCTTTTCGGCAGGACTTCTAAGTTTGCACCAGTGAACACCATGCCTCAATCAAAGAACGTAGACCTGGGCTCTGCCTTCATCCAGACGCAGCAGCTCAACGCTGCCATGGCCGACACCTTCCTGGAACACATGTGCCTGCTGGACATCGACTCCGAGCCCACCACCGCTCGCAACACTGGCATCATCTGCACCATCGGTTAGTGAACATTTATGGTGGCTACCAAAGGCTGCAACATGACAGCTTAATAGTAGCATTTCTTTTCAGGAATTGTTTATTACTGTTATTAGGTTAATTATAAGGTTTTAAAAGTTATGAGGATGAGTGTTATCTAACCTTAATTGTTTCTCTTCAATGCCTGCCTGCAGGGCCAGCCTCCCGCTCTGTGAGTATGCTGCAGGAGATGATCAAGTCTGGCATGAACATTGCTCGCCTGAACTTCTCCCATGGCACACATGAGGTGGGTCTTTACACATTGTTAAAAGTCACGTATAAACAGTGCTGATCATTTCCACCCAGGTTTGATGTAGCAGTGTAGGTACTCTTTGCATTAAAAATCTATGGTGCCGGTCAACAACGTCATTTATTTTTGAAATATCATCCGAATCAGCTTGGCACCCTAAGAAAGATTAGGTCAGCAAGCATGCATGAAATATAGTAGTGCTAACTTGCATAAGATTACACTCTGGGTTTACTAACTAGGTCATCTCAAAGTGATGCATTTAAGTCTGTCACAAAATGTTTAGTATTTAGACTGTATTGGATATATTGGAGGACAGATGTATAAAGAGGCTGATACAAGCTGCTAATCTCACTTGAAAGCATCCAGTGGAATGATCTGTGCACAATAAGATCTGAGCCAAAGTTAACTTTGAAGTTAAAATGTTGCAACAAAAGTCCAACATGTATAATATAAACACACAACCCCAGAAGTGGAAGTGACTGTGGAGACAGAATGGCTGCTTGCCACCAGTTTATGTAAAAGTCCTTTAATCGGGCAGTCAGTCCAGGTGAGCTGAACTGACTGACAACCTGACTCTCACCGCCACACTCCTGCAGGGAGAATCCTGTGTAAATGGTCATCAACGGATAATGCAATCTGAAAATAGAATCATCCACATGTGATAAGTGAGGCTGTTTGACATTTGAATGTTTTCATAGTGTCAATTTAATCAGTTGTCATTTAACATTATGACCATTATCTTTAGATGACCTTGTAGATTAAGAATCTGCAAGATGCAATAATTCATTTTTAGCTCTTCAATTAAAAAATGTAAGTTTCCTGCAGTAGAATCATTTTTAGAAGATATGTTTTATTCTTCCTGAAAACTAAATATGAAAAGTATCTGAGTTGTTTCAATAAAATCAAAGGTTAGGGAAATAAATCAGAGCTTTGTTGGCTTTGGGTGCTATAAATATGTCAACTGTAGCTTCCTGCCCTGCCCTTGTGTACCTTTATCTCCTCAGCAGGGAGCACACATAGACTCTGTAAATGTGTGTGTGTGTACACAACCAAGGTCAGTCCACTGTAAAGCAAAGAAGGAAGTGCACATGATGCAAGTCACATTATTCTCAGTACCAGTATTGCTGATATAGAATGACATGGGAACTACTGTAGCTGAACGTTAACTGGTGTTTCACTTTCGTGTGTGTAGAAAATGAATTAAACTGTCTTGACCCTGACCTATACTCATGCATACTAGTCAGCTGATCCTGATTCACATTGGTCTTAAAACATTACCCTGCATTCATCTCTTACACAAACGCTTTGTGGCATTTCAAATCCTGTAGCCTCAGACTGTGTGTGAGACTAAATGTTAATTGCAGCTTTAAGTGTTTTGGCAACTCGGTTAAGGTCTAACTTTGGATTCTTATTTTTTTTATTTCTTTAATTGTAGTTGGTGAGACCATCCAGGCCATTTGAGTGGCAGTGCAGTGAGTGTAGCATTAGCTCAATGTGTTGCCAGCGTGGAAGGCAGCCAATGTGATTACCTGCCACTTAAGTTATTACTGAAAGCTCTGGTTACACAGGTGGGCATGTTAAGCCATGAAGGAGAGGCTGTCTTTAAAGTCACAGACACTGCGCTACATAACATACATAATCATTAGCCTGTACTAAAGGGAAAAGATGGCTGCAGCAGTAATGTGACAGAACTGGCTTACTATAAAGTTCTCTTCCATCTATACACACTTGAGGCTAAACGCATCAATCAAGGGCACAATCAATGACATTCAATATCCTTAACCTAAGATCTCTTGGTTATTGTGCAACAAGATTCCTCAGTGAAACATAACATGTCAGTTTGGGTGGTATAAAAAGGACCGTATGACCCCGTAGTGATGCTCACAGTATGACAAATGTTTATGACTGTTTCAGTTTCCCTGGCCTGATTTGTAAGTCTGGTGTATAAAACGTATTCAATCAATCTCAAATACCAGTGCCTCTGATATGTTTTAATTTCATTGTTTGCGATAGGATAAGAAAATGGATTAGTGATGGGTGTGATCACAATAAATCACTGTGCTGTTAATTAGCTTGCTTATTGTTTCTCTGGAGATATTTGAACATGTTATACTTGTCTTCCTTTCTGTAGTACCATGCACAGACCATTAAGAACATTCGTGAGGCATGTGGGAGCTTCGAGCCTGGCAGCATCCAATACAGGCCCATTGGCATCGCCCTGGACACCAAGGGCCCAGAGATCAGGACCGGCCTCATCAAGGGAGTGAGTATTGTTGTAGTCCCTTTAAAGGTCACCTATTATGCAAAATCCACTTTTTCCTGTTTTTATACATACCGTATCTTCCGGACTACAAGTCGCACCTGATTATAAGTCGCTCTTGTCAAAAAACGTGTCGTTAAGAGAAAAAACATATAAGTCGCATTTATCCACTGAAGTCTTCATCCTCTGTCGCTGTGAAGGTCTCATTATCACCGAGCTAGCTATCCATCCAGTTAAACACTTTCAAAGAAACTCCGGCACAGAGGTCAGCTTTACTGAAGTTTAATGAATTGGTGAAACTGTAAACACAATACAGACATGGCACACTGTTATTAACTGCCTGACTGACGAGCTGAATAAACAAAAGAATCCACACAAGGAGCTACGGCACATAAACAGGGTTGCCAACTTTGGGTACCTGGCTGGAGTGAGATTTTGATATCATGGGTTTAATTCGGTTTAATTGCACATATGCGCACGAAATGACTGCTATCGTGTCAGCAGCAGGACCTTGGCATATAGGATATATATACAATATATACAAATACACAATAATGGACACAGACTATAAAGGGCACACAGTTTCATTCACTAATGAAAGTCAAACATGTTTGTTTCCACTGTTTTATTGTGTGCCTGTCGCGATAAGCAATTAATTGACTTGCGTACGATAAATAAAAATGAACTCGATAACTTTTCTGACCTCGATAAATTGCCATTTACATGAGGATGTGACTAGCAGTTTGAAAGGATGTACTTGAATTATTATTATATATTATCATTATGTCAGTGGTCTAAAATGGTCATACAACGGTGCCGACAATATTATCGTTTATCGCAAAAATTTCCGGGAAAATGTATCCAACAAAATGAATTATCGTGAGAGGCCTATACATGAAACACACACACACAAACAAATCTATAGACTTACTCCAAACTGCCAAATATATTAATTAACACTCTCTCACTCTCATATACTCTTTGACTCTATTTTGGCCTAGTAGAACAATAAGCAGCAGACTTTTACTTTTTTATCATTTCTACTGGATCTTAGATCTGCGCATGCGCAATACGGGTCGGCAGTTGCGGCTCCAGAGTATTTTTGTTGGGTAATCTATAATAGGGCTAACCCATACAGTGGTGGGGCTCAAGTCAGTATTTGCAATGTAATTACATACACGCTCCCCCCGACAGTGAAACGCCACGCGTGAGGTTTAGATTATTTCCCTGTCTCAATCCAAATTGAACTGTATGAAATAAAAAGGCACATTTGTCTTGTAGTAAATAAAAAGGGCGACCTGGAGCCAATCCTGCAATTTCCCCACAGGTGAAAGAGTTGACATGCTGAAAGCCCAACCCCTGCAGGGGGGTCTGGGGGGATTCTCCCCCAGGAGATTTTTTTTAAATACTAACATAAAATACACATTCTGGTACTCTCTTGAGAAGAAAAATAAATAAATCTATTACTACACGACGTATTTAAAAAAAAAAAATGAATGCCATTTTAGTTTTTTGTTACTTTGTTCTGAAAGCTGAACCTGCTGCTCCTCACAGAGGGAAGAGGCTGTGTGAATTACTTTACATTGTGGATAAGGGTGGATAGCCCCCATTGTTCTGTGTGTCAAAATGAAAGACAGCCCACACACCTATCAATCATCAAACCGTGGGGTCTTATTTCATTACGTGTTGATTTCTATCAACACGTAATGTTGTATCGATGTATAGAGATGTACTACCGCAAAAGTATTCTCCGTCGGGACTTCCTGCAACAACATCACGCCGTTATCGTGATTCTGATTGGCCAGAAGACATTATCAAAGATGTTCTATTGAGAAGACGATCACTACGTGACAAAAGTTTTCAAAACCGTTTCTAGTCTTCGGTATTCTTGTTTTTGGCGTGAGAATAGTTTGGGCAGCTTGAGAGTGAAAGCGTGTGTCATGCGTGAGAGTTGGCAACCCTGACATAATACTGATATGCTAATTAGCTTAGCCACTCGGAATTCTCACTGTATTATTTATACAGTCGCTGTTAAACACTTCCGCCAACTCCGGTGTCGAAGAAGCAGCATGTCCTGCTCCAGGCTGTCCTCAGACTCTCCATCAGCTCCGATTAGACCTTTCTGAATCCCGACAGAATGGTGTCGGTCGTCAATGAAGCCCATGCTGTGTCGATCCATCCGACAACATCCTGGAAAGTTACGTGACGCATCCTCCCAGTTGCCGTGACTTTTTTCTTCTTCGGTGGTAAAGCAGTTATCACGATTGTATAGGGAGGCAGTGGACTAGTGCGTTGATGTTGGGATCAGGGGAGCACAGGTTCAAGCCCCACTGCAGTCAGCATGTCGTTGTGTCCCTGGGCAAGACACTTCACTCCAAATTGCTCCTGTGGGGATTGGCCACAGTTTTGAGTATGTAAGTCGCTTTGGATAAAAGCGTCTAACAAGTAACATGTAATGTATATTGTGCCATCTATTGGCCGGAGTTTGAACTCAGTCAGACAAAATTCAATATATAAGTCGCTTCAGAGTATAAGTCGCAGGAACAGCCAGACGGGTAAAAGAAAAACGCGACTTATAGTCCGGAAAATACGGTAAACATGTGTCCCCTCTGTGTGAAGAGATTCTGAAAGTTTCAGGAAAAAGGATTCGCTCTCTTTGTCCTGATCCATTTATATAAAAACCTGTCTGAAAATGAGCTGATCACATTTTGGCCACTTTATGATGTCATAACGTTTTTTTGGCTTGTGTAACCATTAGCCAATCACCAACCAAGGTAACTCCCCCCTTCACCTTATCACCTGAGTCTCCTCCTAGAGCACCATTGTGTTATTTTTAACCAAATGATCTGTTTGGTATGTATATATCTGAGACTTATAATAAATTAAGGAAAAACAGTGTAATAGGGGACCTTTTTTAAATGGCTTTTTTAGCTGTTCACAATGATAACATTCAGCATGAAAACAAACCAAACAGAAATTAAGTTATGACTGTTGATGATTTGACAGAGCGGCGAAGCTGAGGTGGAGCTGAAAAAGGGCAACATGCTCAAGATAACCCTGGACGATACTTACGCAGACAACTGCAGCGAAGAAGTCCTGTGGCTCGACTACAAGAACATCACCAAAGTGGTGGAAATCGGCAGCAGGATCTACATTGACGACGGACTCGTATCCCTGCAGGTCAAGGAGATTGGTGAGTGAAGCACTGTCGAACATTAATAAAATCACTTCTGGTCGATTAGAAAACACTACCAATTAACAAGGTAGAAAAGTCTTCAGCCCGTTAATATGTTCTTGTGTCTCCAGGTTCTGATTTCCTCATGTGCGAGATTGAGAACGGCGGCACCATTGGAAGCAAGAAGGGCGTGAACCTGCCCGGTGCTGCTGTGGATCTGCCGGCTGTTTCAGAGAAGGACATCCAGGACCTGCAGTTCGGTTTGGAGCACGGAGTCGACATGGTGTTCGCGTCCTTCATCCGCAAAGCAGCAGATGTGGAGGCTGTCAGAGCCGTGCTGGGAGAGAAAGGCAAAGACATTAAGATCATCAGCAAGCTGGAGAACCACGAGGGTGTCCGCAGGTGTGTGTGTGGATGAAGAATTATATGTAGATCTTTCATGTAAATCCTGGTTAGAGTTCATTTATCGTATTTATGGATTTTTGTACATTTCGGTATTTAAATTATTGTTTCCTGTGCAGATTTGATGAGATCATGGAGGCCAGCGATGGCATCATGGTTGCCCGTGGTGACCTGGGAATTGAGATCCCAACAGAAAAGGTCTTCCTGGCCCAGAAGATGATGATCGGTCGCTGCAACAGAGCTGGCAAGCCAATCACATGTGCAACTCAGGTCAGAGCAAAGCACAGTACACCACTTTCTCTACAGCTGATTTATTATTTATTAAAGTGTCTGTTTGTCTTCTGTCTGTGTGGGATGTTGTTTGCCGTGGTGTCCCAACACTGGACGGGTTGTCGCGGGGAGGAGGTGCTGCCGTACTGACATTTATTGTTTATAGTTGACATTTTTGTTTTAGCTGACTGTTTTTTAAATGTGTATGTCTGTTTGTCTTCCGTCTCTGTGGGATGTTGTTTGCCCTGGTGTTAAGCAGTATTCACATTGTTACTCTACCTATCTTTCTATAAAGTGAAGATTTGTTTACCTACTTTTGATACAAAGTAAAAAGAGTGGCTGTACTGGGCTGCTTAGACATCTGAATATCTGCAGGCGTGTTAACCTAAAGGAGGGCAGTCAGTTTAATCTTTAGAGGCAAGGCAATTTTATTTATATAGCACTTTTCAGCACGTGGCGATTCAAAGTGCTTTACACATTAAAAGCAAAAGACATTTAAGAACAAATACAGCATAAATACATTAAGAGACGGAACTTGAGCCTTGGTTGATAAAAGGCGGTTTCTTTCCACTCAGATGTTGGAGAGCATGATCAAGAAGCCCCGGCCCACCCGCGCTGAGGGCAGCGACGTAGCCAACGCCGTGTTGGACGGAGCCGACTGCATCATGCTGAGCGGAGAGACCGCCAAGGGAGACTACCCTCTGGAGGCAGTACAGACACAGCACAAGGTGAGTTCATCTATACTCAATACACATATTTGAATATTTTATCTAAGCATAAAGAATTGTTTTTGAAAAAATAGATATTATTGATTGGAGAAATTAAGGGGAGGATCTTGCATGATTTTCATTTTCAACTAAGCATGCCAACACTTGGAAGCTGCTCTTTCTTGTTTCCTATTTTTTGTGTTCTCCTGAACACATCAATGACTTTTGGTTTTCTATGACGCAGCACCTTTTTATATTTTCCTCTTGGCTTGCTATAACAGCTGTCCGCAGGATTGTTAGGCCAACCGGAAATGCCTTGTTTATTTTTCCATCCACTTGTTTCCAGTTAATCTGTCCACCTGCTTTATGGTAGGCTCATGAAAACTCAGTGGAGGAACAATCATCTTTTTAATGAGTTTAATAATAATGAAATTGAGATTTCAAATAGATGGCACATCCTTCTTTATCTTCCAAATGATAGGAAGTAGTGTATTTATTAAGGAGCAATTGTGTTTGTCTGTATTTTAGAAACATCTTTGATTCATTCATGATTTACTAATTATTGATCATTACCAATGCTGACGATGGATTAAGAAAATATTATGCTTAAAATCTGTTATGTTTTATGTTCAGTCAGGGACAGACACAAGTAGAACACTTTTGAAACGGTCTTGATGAATTCTTACATTAGAATCACAATGGATAATGCACTTAATGCTGTCTTTTTGTAGCCTAACATCCCGTGGTCTGTTCACTCTGCTGTGCGCTGCTATGCAGATGCAGGAGTGACTCAGCATTACTCCCCTCCTGCCTTTGAGCTTGCTGCCCTAAGCTGAATTTGTATCGGGTTCTTAAAAATCCAAAGGAAACCAGCGACTTTCACTGACCCAAAACCGTGCTTTTAGTAGTGAGACTCGTGTTTGTTACCTCACGTTGACTTAACGTCTTCTTAGCCCTTTTATCGGGCATCTTCTTATTTACTTTAATGCTTCTGAAGCTTTTCTTGTTCATTCTTCCTGTACTTCTTTTAACCATTTCTTGACACTATTGTGCAGTGCATGATATTTTCACTCCAAAACTCTTTTTTTCCCTCCTCCCAGTTGATTTAAAGGTGGGGTAGGTAAGTTTGAGAAACCGGCTCGAGATACACTTTTTGTTATATTCCATGGAATGCTCTTAACATCCCGATAGCAATAAATATCTTAAGTGCTTTGACAAAAAACCCATTAAAAAATGTCATCTGTGGAAGCCGTAGTACTGTAAAGAGTACGACCAATCATTTGAGCCGGCTCGGCTAAAATAACTGGATGGCCTACCTGCCTGTCAGCCTTCCATCGGGGCACAAACTTATCTCGTGCCCTCATTGGTCATGTGCGCGTTCGTGTGTGTTGGAGGAGGGGCTCTGTAAGGAAGTGGCAGATTTTTTCCGGCTGTGTATTTTCAAATTCTAGCGCACTCGAGTTGGTTTCGCCAAAATTACCTACCCCACCTTTAAGATTAGATTTTTTTTTATAGTTTTAATTTAATCAAATTTATTTTGGGGTTTTATTTGATTAAGCTAATCTTGGTCAATATTATCCCTAACCATATTTTTCTTAAGGATACAAATATATTTGTGTAACTTTATCCCATCAGGACAGTTCACATAACTCCAGATTAGCATGGGTTGTATTACATTATGTTTATTTATTAACCAAATGTTAAGTGTTGTGTTTTTCTGGATATGTTTTAACGTTGATGTTTCCCCCCCCGCTAAACTACACCCTAACTCTTCTATTTAATGTCCTGCCTGTCCTCTCCTTCTGTCTCCTTTTTTTTTTTTTTAACTTGTTCTTGTTGTATGTCTCTAACATTGTCCTTCTCTGTTTCCCATTTATTTTCTCCACCAATTTCCTTAATTTCCCCTCTGCCTGTGCGTGTTGTGGGAATGCCTCTGCTTGATGCATCTTGCCCTCACGTGTGCCAGATTGCTCGTGAAGCCGAGGCGGCCATGTTCCACCGGCAGGTGTTCGAGGACCTGCGTCGCTCCACGCCGCCCTGCACAGACCCCGCAGAGGCTATTGCTATCGGTGCTGTCGAGGCCTCTTTTAAGAGCTTAGCCTCTGCCATGATTGTGCTCACTGGCTCTGGAAGGTAGGCAGGTCCCACAGGTGGAGGAGGACAGTGATGGCGTAGTTAAGGATTCAGAGAGGGAGTGTAGGGCCGGACAGGGACTGATTCAGGAAGTAACTATGAGAGACTGGCAAATGCCTAAACTAAAAAGTTGTACTGATTTTTTTTTATTTGATAGTGTGTTTTGAGGGAACACTTTTCCTATCATTAAGCCAAAAATGAACCTTGTTAACCAGGAGTCTAGCAGCGCATTTGCCAGTCTCTCGTAGTGGTGTGAATGACTGTGTGAGGCAGTATGGGTGATTGAGAGTAACCCCCCCCACCCCACCCTCCTCCTATGGTCCCTCTGGGCTCAGATAGCACGAGAGGCCGAGGCGGCCACCTTCCACAGACGGCTGTTTGAGGAGCTGAGGAGAAGCTCCAAGCTGACCAGAGACCCGTCTGAGGCTGTGGCCGTCGGCGCCGTCGAGTCCGCCTTCAAATGCTGCGCTAGCGCCCTGATAGTCCTCACCAAGACCGGGAGGTAAGACCGACGAGAAGGGTAGAGGTGGAAGGGTCCTCCTGAAGGTAAAGTGTCGCCAACGCTGCTCCTAATTCTTCCTCGAACACCTAATTTGCTCTTACAGATCCCCCTCCTTTGATTTTGTGTGTGTCAGAAGTGCGCTGTGTGTGGTGAGATGAGATAGCAACAGATTTAATTTGTGGTTGTCATTAGCACAGTCCAAATGTCCATTGTTAAACCCACTAACTAATTGCTTACTTGCATTAATCATCAGACCTGTAAAATGGGGTTTCTTGGCAAAGAATTATGCAAAAGCATTTTCTTCAGTGTTTCAAATTTTATAGAGTAGGCCAATTAGTTGACTAATTCACAAAAAGGGGGCAGACCTACTCGCCAAAAACCCAGCATAAAGATGGTCTGCTGAAGTCTAAATTAACCAAAGTATCTGAAATAACCTGTTGTGTGTAGTGTACAGATTTTAATCTTACTGAATTGCTTTAATTAATTTGGATGGAGTTCATTTACATGTTAGGTTAACGGCTTATGCATTACTGAAGTTATATTCAATGCAATACAATATTTAGCTTAAAATTGTACCGTTGAATGTCTATACTAAATATGTTGACATCACTCTGCAATTATAATTCAGCTTCTTACTGACAGTAACTGCATTTTGTGTAAGCATGACTTTTTTCAATAATTGTTAGTCATACCTTTGCAGTCATTGGTTTAAAAGAAAATACTCAACATGTGAGGAAATCGTTTAAACCTGTTTGTGTGTGTGTGTGTGTGTGTGTGTGCAGGTCCGCCCACCTGATCTCAAGGTACAGGCCCCGCGCCCCCATCATCGCCGTGACCCGTAACGCTCAGACGGCTCGCCAGGCTCACCTGTACCGCGGCATCTTCCCCGTCCTCTACACCAACCCCTCCCACGACGTGTGGGCCGAGGACGTCGACATGCGCGTCAACTTTGCCATGGATATGGGTTAGTGTCTTCGTTTCCTTTTTAGTATTTTCTTTTTTAACTTGGGTTTTCCTTTTATTACAGTTTCATCTCTTCGTCAGACCAAATTTCAGCTGTATATTTGTTTTATCTCCACATTAAGTCACAAAGCCTTCTGATGTTTGCTCGCTGATTATTACCCATCATGTCTCCTCATTAAAAGTTTATTTTAGTATTTAACAGTGCAGAACAAGTGTAGATTTTTGAGACAATAATGTAACATTCTCTCAGGATAACACAATGTAAGATTAACAATGTATTTAAATGTTTGATGCTTTGTTTCCAGGTAAGGCCCGAGGCTTCTTCAAAGAGGGAGACGTTGTCATCGTGCTGACCGGCTGGCGTCCAGGCTCCGGTTACACCAACACCATGCGTGTGGTTCTGGTGGCCTGAACAGTCTCCATCCACCTTCATTTATGTTTCATAGCGCTCCACCCTGCACTCCAGCTCACAGCCCCCCCAGTGCAACAGCCATAGACTCAAACCCTGAACAACTAATAATGTAGGCAATGATGCAAAGCAATTAGAGTACAGCCTTCATGGCTATAGAGCTGTTTTGGGTGGAGTTTTGATTCGTACACTTTATGTTTTCATTCCTTTCACATCTCTAAATCAAAACCAGTCCGCAGGGCCTCAGATTTAAACACCTTGACCAGAAACTGCTGTATTTACACTTATTATTTAAGGTGAATCAGTCTTAGAGTGAATGCTTCCTGGTCTGTGTGCATGTGCATACTGCCTCCTGTTTAGGTGGAGTTGGGGGTTATCTTTTAAAAAGGGCAACTTGAGGACTGTAACGGTATACTGATGCAACTCCTCTGCCGATATAACGAACAAACTTGTTACATCCTAAATCAAAGGGCTCCACCTCTCCACCCAAACAGATCCTCGTGTAGTGCCGTCTGTTTGAAGTGTCCTCTCCAGCTATCACTGTACTTATGATGCGTGTTGCACTCCTTATTTACTCCAGACAATGTTACATTCAATGTTATACTTAACTTCTGTAAATTGTAGTTTTGTTTTGGGACATCCAATACTACTTATATTTTGTCAAACTCAAGAGAAATGTTAGTGTTGGATGTTCAGAGTTGTTGGAGCTAGTTACTGTATTTGTGACATAAAAGCCTTTACCGTTAATTGAATTTGGAGCATATTTATTTTGAATCTCGTGTGGTTTAATAAAGTTGACTGATATAAAAGAGCATTGTAGGGTATTTCCAAAGGGGACCTGGTGAAGGGATGACACCCAGTCCCTCTCGACTCCAGTGGGTGAGGGGTCGCCCCCCTCTGCTTGTCTTTCTCCTTTTTATGTTGGTGAGCCACTGTAGCTGTCTTTTTGTGTCTAACATGCTTTTGATTGTAACGCTAGAGTGTCTGAACTAACTAAATGTAAAGGGGTATTATAATGTTTAGCTGGTGTACTGAGCTGTCCTTAAAGCCTGGATTTCCATCAATAAAAGAGATGAACACTTACCTTAACTCTGCCTGATGTTTTGTTTGACAATGAATAATCATGGGTGGTTCTACATAATCTTTAGGGAAGGGTCCCGGATAGTAAAACATAGTAATAATTATGGCGCATTTCCACTACAGCGCGGAGCTCGCTTTAAGCGTGCCCGGCCCGTTTTTGGTTGCGTTTCCACTTGGTGTAGTTCCAGCTAGCGGGTACTATTTCACAGTTTTTCTGGCCCCATAAAATCGAGGTTCTTTCCGGGCCAACAACCAGGCTACAACAAAAGGAACATATTTGACCGTGATTTAATTGTAATACACGTTTCAAAAAAGTAACATACTGATACCGGTTAGTAAAAACCATGAATTTATGCTTTGACAGACGGCAGGCAAAAAACCTTTTAAAATGCGTGTTTTCTAAATGGAGATCGTCCACACTCTCAACAACGGCCTATAGCCTACAGACATAAATAAACCAGCGACTGTATTCGCCATGACACAGACTGTGGTTTGTACTTGTTTAAAGTGGACCTATCATGCTATATTTGAAACATATTGTAGGGCCATACCTATACAAAACATGAAACGCGGATCTTGGGTCCTTAGCTTGAAAAAAATAAAAGGAGGCGGAGCTAATGCCTGATCAGAATTCTACCGGAGATAAAGTTAAATTCTGCTGTGATAAAACGCCATCCTGTTTAAACCACGTCAAGGATTATTTCTGAAATAGTATGGAGCTCAAATGCTTTTTCTCTTGCAGGTTTATCACAACTTGTGATAAACCTGCAAGAGAAAAAGCATTTGAGCTTGACAAGGTGAGTTTTTTTATTTCCTGCTTTTTAAACACGTGCTTTACAGTACAGGTTAGCTCTGAGTGTTAGCGAGGCTTGTCAGGCATTGTTTCTGATAACAACTTCCTGTGGGTCCGCTGCCGATTTGACGTCAGTTCGGATGAAATCTGTATCCGCTCGTTGTACACCCGTTTTAAAAAGATTTGGGTACGGAGGAAAAGAGAGGGTTTTATTTTCTGACGCTGCGTGAGTTCCCCGACGCACCGGGGTCATGTATGTATAAAAGACATCAAAGTGCATTTTGCATGATAGGTTCCCTTTAACTTTTGTCTAGTTTCTGAACAGATATGAGGAGCTGTGAGCTTGAGTGCCAACAGCTAACGGCTGATGTTGTTTTTCTGTGGTGGTTCTCATTGAAGATGACGTCACGGCTCCGCCTACACTGCGTTACTATAGTTACTGCCCCAGCTCTAAACTGTAATGGAAACGCAGCATAAAGTGAGCCAGTCCTAACAAGGCCTAACGAGGCCTAGCCATACCGAGCGAGGCCCTGTAGTGGAAATGCGCCATAAAACACCCACTAAAGTGGTCTCAAAAAGTTAAATCGCCTGCTAATGTATATGTAGGGTGCAGGATTTTTAATTAAAAATAATTGCTTTCTCCAATGCATCTGCATGGAGTTAAAATACATGTACAAAGTATTAAGGTTAATTTCTTAGACAATACTATACTCATATTCAACAAGGTTTTATTCATTATTTCAAGCTTTGACTCTTGTCTGAATAATCTATACTCAACATGTAATAGCAACATACTGCCATGCTAGCTGAGCTGATCATCATATTTAGTTTACTTTTTTTTATAGGGTTAGGTTACGGTAAAGAAATGTGGATATTCCAAACCCATAAAGTTATCTCAAAAGTTAAGCTCCTCACTGATGATTTTATGAATGCACAATCCAGTCAAAACATAAAGAACCATTTATTCTCCAATACAAACGTGTTCTATTCAACAAGGTCAATATATCCAGATTCACGTTTTGAGCATTTACTTGCTGTCCTGGCTGTACACGACCCCCACCTGCCTGCGAATCTCATCCTCCAACTCAGCCAGCAGCAGAGAGTCAGCATGGGAGACGACTGAACTCTCCTTCAGCCCTACATGGGAAATGTCACACTGTAAGAACATGTTTAGACTGAATCATACACTGTATACATGTATACATGCATACAGTTTGGGAACATAGTAAAAGCTCTTTAAGATTCCAGTGTTTCTGATGCCACCTTGTGTTGAAAGTATGAACAACAAGTCTAGAAACATGCCTGAACTGAGGTTATAAGAGTTGGGAATATAATTTACTTCAGTGACAACAGAGGCCTGTACTACGAAGCTGGTTCAACCTAACCTGGATATGTTTGAGTTAGCCGGTTGGCCCAATCCAAAACATACGCGCTCTGGCTAAACTGTACTACGACGCTGGTTATCAAGTGGATCGCTCAAGCCAGCCGTGTCCTATCTAGTTAGGTGCGCGTTCACATGAAAGGGGTGGTATTTGGAGCATTCGACCAATCTCAAACACGGACAAGCGTACTGACAGCGCAGCGTCATACTTCCTGAATGAAAAGTGAACTTTAATATTAGTCAAATATGAAGAAGTTAAACTTTAAACATCCATGACTTAAACACTTTATCCAGGATAAAAGCCACATAGCTGCACCTGCAAGGTGAATACAGCTGGTAAAAGAAAAAGTGTTTGAATGCGTACATTAACAGGTTTATGAAATCACTGCCCCGTCCAAGACACGAGTGGATCTGACTTTAATTAGGAGAATTTGACTCGAGTGTTTCATCAACTTAATGTGTTGCTTAAAATAATACTTCTGCATACAGTATGTGACACTGTGAGTGTTGCACGGCCAGATACGGCTCAAGAAGCTGACTCAAATAAGGAAATATATGATACATTATGATGTGATATGATATGAATGATAATGGGGCACATCGACGTCTGCACTCACAGTGCCGCGGACTGTACTTAATGTTACTCTGATCCGGTTACTTATGTTGTGGCAGATATTTAAGTAAGCTTTCTTAACGCTAATATTATAATAGTCAGATTGCTCTGAAGATGGGAGGGAATATTCTATTAATTTTCACGTTCACACAGTCAGTTGATTTTGGCCGGCCGTCTTTCCTGCAACGGCAGTTTTTCTGTATTTCCTCTATCCTGTAATATGAATTGATCGCTTTAAACTCCGCACACGGAGCTCTGATTGGTCAGCAGGCGGTGCTTTCACTGAGTTGATCTCTTAGCCTGCCACCTAACCTGCTCCGGAGCAGGTTTGCCGCTCAGCATAAGTTACCATGGAAATCTAGCCTGCTAAAAAGAGAACCAGCGTCGTAGGACCGGAAAGCCCGAGATTTCCCTGAAGTTAGCCGGCTAAGCGAAAATCCAGCTTCGTAGTACAGGCCTCAGGTCTCATTCTCTCCCGCAATAACAAACAGATGTATGAGTCACTTTTAATTTTTTTATTTTAATTGAATTATGAGTGCATTTGCAAGTAATGGATAAGTCATACCTTTGCAAAGGTTTAGTTTTTGTTAGCACCCGGTATAATGTCTCAAAAATATCTAGCTTTATATACATGAATGCATGGTTGGAGACCTCTGAAAATATATCTTAAAATATCTTGATTATCTTTTGAAATATATTAGTTTTAGTCCCATTTGATTATCACAAATGTGAGAACATTGACCTGAGCTGAATAGCTTTGATTACTGGCATTTTATATACTGCAATACATAAAATCCTTTTCCTATTGTACAAGAGAGGACTGCATAAGAAAAACATTAGGGATTAATCATGAAGACACTGCATAGCGACGTCTCCTGGAAGGTATGGTTCATTCAATTTAAGTGGTTAAAGGTTGCAAGAGTTGACAAAAAAAGAATTGAGTCACCTTTTTTCAGTAGTTATATATTATAGCTAAAGAACAAAAGAAAAATATATAATTTTGACTGCTTATTTTTCATCTAATCTTCTGTTTTGACAGATATTCCTTACCTGAACTTTCAGAAATCACAGATGAATATACACCTTCTAATTGTGCTTTTTTCTTTTTCTGGTTAATACGTAAATGAATTATTGTTGTAATGTAAATACAATCTAAAATATGCCTAAACTCACAGTACCTTTGAGCAAACACTGCCGGACCTCCTCTGCCTCGTAACGCATCCCTGTACTGTTGAGGAAGTTGAGGGGCAGATAAGGCTCTGGCACAGGGTACTGAGTCTCCTTCCCATTCACCTCTAATGACGTGGGGCACCACATGTGGTCAGGGATCTAAAGAGCATGCAACAGGGTATTTTCACAACAATAACATCAGACAATTATGACATATACAGTATAATATGTGAAGAGAAACTACATTTAACTCCCCTCCTGCTTCACACTTGCCCTTGTTCACATTTGAAACTTGAAAATAGTATATACAAATTGCAAATAGGATCTAACATTCAGACTATTTTTATTTAATTTGACTATGTGACCCTGCTGATGACCTACCCTGATGTTTCCCTTTGTGCCCGCAATAATGGTGTCATTGGGCAGCTGGACACCTGAAGAGCAGGAGAACACGGCCATCCTGTTCCTGGAGAACTTCAGAGTGACAACCACAGTCTCATCCACTCCTGCAATAACATACAGATGAGGTCATGCACAGGAACATTTTACTTGCATAAGAAATGACTGAGACATGCAAAACTGATTTGCTGCTAATCACATAAAAAATACAAGAATTTAGCAGTGTCGTTGTTTAAACAAGTGCAGTGTCTGCCATGTGTACTCTGCAAATAAAGTGTTGAGTTTGTTTATTACACTGTGCTTTATATTGAAGAATAAAACAGTGTATAAGAATGTAGGGCAAGAATAGATACCTGGACTATAAAAGCCTAACTTTTATTGTACCAGTTGAGGTGATATCTTATCGTACAGGAACACTCCCTTGGTTAAAGATTATCAATCCACATAAAATATGAATGATACTTTATACAAACAGTTTGCAAGCTGCAACCTTTTCATTTTGTTTTCTTATCAGGAGCTGCAAATGGCTTAGGTTATGGATAACAATGGTAGCACTGTTAACCTGTGTGTGATGTTTTTAAAGGTAAGAGAAAGCCGCGATGACTTCTTAATTACTTCAGACTCATATGAGCTATGTTCCCGACTTGTTATTG